TATTGAAAATAGATAACCACGATTAACATATACGCATTAACAACAAAACAACTACCTTCCATCCAAATAAGAAAAATAATAACCAATTCTGCTGCACATGTCCCGTTTTCTTGTCATGATTTTAGATATAGATCTTCCGCCTGTTTGAACGATCAGAACAATTATCCTCTGCATGATATACCAAATTTCATGGTATTTCCAATATACAAATTTAGATGAAATCGATATTATATTCCTATGGTTTCTATGAGAAATTTTATGTTATGTCAATCAACCCTTTCATCCATTTCCCCATGGCACACCGCTGATCTAATCGATTTTCTTTTTTTCAGGTTATCTTCTTATGCTTTTTTTTTCATGCTTTTGGTTTCTTCCGCACAGCTTCCAGCCCTTTTACAAATCTCTTGGTTCTCTGCCCAAAAATCGCGCCTTGCCCAAAAGCAGCAGTACAAGCAACAACAGCAGCAGCAGCAGATCAAGCAGCAAATCAAGCAGCAAACCATTGCAAAGCCTTTCCAAAACCTCTCGGGCTTAGTTTTGACCGGCTGCAATTTTAACATATTTTAACGAGGTCCGAACGAGGTGTAAACGAGGTCAAAATGAGGTCCGAAATCAAATTTTGGGAAACTGACCCCCTAAGTCTCCTGACAAAGTCTTTGGTAGCCACATGCTTTCGCATTCTTTTCAGAGCAGTAAAACTCCAGAGCTTTCAGCAGTGGAGCAGAAGAGGAAACCAAGCCAAGCAGCAGCTGCAGGTAAGAGCAAGGAGACAGAAGAGGAGACAAAGGGCGAGTAAGGGAAACAAAGGGACGCAAGCTTGGCAAACAAGGCGGCGGTGAGAAATTTGAGCGGGCACAGAATGGTTGAGACGTCGGAATCCAGTAATAACCAAAAATATCTAAGGCCTAACGGCTAAAACTATTTAAAACTGCTGGGGAAGAGAAAGCAAAGCCATGGGCAGAGGAACCACCAGGCATGGGGCAGCAGGTCAGGATGACCTATGTCTATGTTCGATTGTCTATATTTAAGCCCCAAACTGAAGCAAAACGCAACTCAAACACATTTTTTACGTATTAAACGTGTTACCAATTTCAAAACTCATCAAAAACCACCTAAACGCCACGACTGCAACGACTTCCTAAAATTTGTCTGCCACCCAAATCCAGGCAAAGTATACAATTGCCACGACTTTTATCTTTGGGAATATAGTGCGTAAACCCACAAAGATATGACAGGTAAGCATCGTGTGCCTATGCGAAGTGCCAAAAAAAAATCAGTAAGTTGAAGTCATAGGCGCTGCCCATGTGGGCCTTTCCCCATAGGCACACCACGATTTGGCACAAGATCTTGTCATCGGCACTTGTTACAACATCGACACAGTAGTTTAATTATCCGTTTCCCAATGGCACACCTAGTGCCAAATAGGTCGTACAAAGCATCCCTGACCCAGTGTACCCCTGCATTGTGTGCCCTGCAATGGACAAACAAACAATAAGAAGGTTTATGACTACAAATGGTAGGTTCATGTTGGTGAAATTCAGCGTGCCTATGCGTTTTGTGGTCTTACAATAAGCAATGATCCAATGGAATAATAACATCATACATATCTTTTATACACACTTCCCCACGGCACACCGACCTGAGACAACTTCAGGGGAGACGAGACAAGAAACGACATGAACCCAGTAAATTATCTAATTAATACAATATAATACAAATATAATAATTTATAATTTAAATTTGATTAATAATAAATTTAATTATTTATTAATGTATATTATTGTATATTATTAATAAATTAAAATTCAAATAAATATAAATATAATAAACCAAATATTTTTTTTCTTGCATTTCGATTTATAAAGCGTGGGAAAGAATAGGATTTTCCCTCGGGCTGGCAGAGTGGCACAATAGCGACCAATAGCGCAGAATAAATTTCAAATAATTCAAACTAAATCTTCCATTGTTAGATTGCATCTTATGGGCCTGTATTGTTGGCGGTATTTTTTGGGATGTATTATTTGTATTTGTTTGTCCCGAATTATGCAGTGTTGAATTGTTTGGGAAAATAGTGCATCATGGAATCATGGATCTTCAATCGTGGAAGTTCAGAGGTATTGCTAGATTGACCAAAGAGGTTCCTTGGCAAAGGCAACGATATTGAATCCAGCTTCATATTTCTCCTGTTTGAGAAACGGGGTCCCGCAATGGGCTCATTGTGGTGGTCCTGCAAATACAATCCCTCTCTCCATCGCCTTCCCGAAGAGTTCAGCGAAGCTCAAGGCGAGTTGAAAAACAAGTGCTCCACCATGGTAGACAGGAGTGTCAGCAAATGCAATGCATTTAAGTTTTTTTGTGCCAAGGCTCCACCACATTGCCTGCATCTTTTTAGTGGGTGCTTACCCCCCCAAAAAAAAGAGAACAAACAACGGTGATGTTTTGTGCACGATTGTTTAGCGGTTCTTTTGAGGTGGTTGATATTTGTAGCACAGTTTTCGGTGCAATTGTCTTGCGATCAAGAAGCATATTTCGAGCCTAAGCTGAAGCCTACTTGAGCCGTCCAGCCTTTGGACGCATGTTGAGCCTATGCTATTCCTATGTTGGCCCCATGCTAGGCCTGCGCTGAGCGTATGAGGCAGATGTTGCGGCAATGGCGGGTCTATGTTCAATCTATTTCTAGCCGCGTGGCCTATTGCACGACCTGTTCAAGAGTGTGAAAATGAAGTGATGGTGATGGTTGATGGCGATGAGTGATGGGGACAAAAAGGAGAAGATGGGAGAAGACCAAACATGCCAAAAGCTGAGGTTGCAGCTGGTGATTAGGGAGCTTCAATGCAACCAACCAAATTGTCCAAAAGAAAGCCTTTTTGTGCATGCCTGTCCCACAGAAGAATGAAATGGCATTCAATAACTCTTAAGGACCACAGGCACTAGATCTGCTGCACTCTACATTTTGTTCTGCCTCCAGGTTCTGCATTTTTAATGCAGGAGGAGTAAAGTGATGCGAGTTGCCAAAGTAGCTCAAAAGGAGCCCATGGAAACTGTACACTGTACGTTGCTTGAAACTGGAGAAACTCAGGCGGCGCAGCAATCGCTTGTGCAACGTGCCAGGAGTGTGCTCTTCGGCACATGTGTTGTGCAAAGTTGTGAAAAAGTATTCCTGAACAATCCCTGGGTTGCAAGACCTGCTGTTGCACACAAAAGGTTTGCACAGCACACGTTTTGGCCATAGAGGACTGTGCAATCCATTGACTAAACGTTCGGACATCAACACGGCCTTTGGCCGACCTCTATCCGCAAAGCTTCAAAGTAATTGTGAATGGCATCTTCTGAGACGCCATTGATGTACTGGAAGTAAGCCCGCTCAAGCACCCTCTTCTCAAAGTCATGAGCCAAGCCCTCGTGAGCCACCTAAGCAAAGAAACAACACACACAAATTGATGCTGTCCAGATGCTAGATGTCTGAGCAGCTTTAGCACTTCAGAAGGAGCTGGCAACTATAAAAATGTAATTATCCTCTAGACTCTAAGCGTTGTTTCCAAAAATGGTGGCCTTCCAACTAAATGTCGGGCTCTGTAAGGAAAACAGCTGAAACTATTGGAAACTGAATGCTACTATACAAGTACTGTAGTAGTTTGAATTGGGAGTGTGTAGACTAATTTTCGGCTATCTATGTATGTGTTGGCTTCAAAAACGCCACCAAAAACACACAGCAAAGATCAAATAGATGGATATTGTACATATATACTACCACCGTATTACTTATAATATTGTATAATATTGTATAACGTGTATATATATATATTATTATATAATATTATATATACCTCTCTCTCTCTCTCTCGCTACCCATCTACTTCCTTTCTATCAAACATTGAGAAAGGATCAGAATGCAATGGACAATCTACAAACCACTGGAATTCCTGCAGTGACCAATCATGACCAAGCGGCTTGGCGTGCATCGCGGTGCTCCTTTTGGCTTGTCAGGATGTTCTCCAGACTGCCACCTTCGCGCGGGCTTCGAGGAGAGTGCTTGCGGCTCTTTGACCGATGCGAGCCACCGTGCCCAGGCCGCCTGGCATACATGTCAGTGAGCTCCTGGGAGCAGTTTACTGTTGTCTGCAGAGGCGGTGGCTGACTCTGGTCTGGCTGCGTTTCTTGTGGCGTTGGCTGTGGCTCGTGTGGACGTGTCATCTGGTACAAGTATTGGGCCACTGTTGCAATGGGGTTCTTGAACCCTTCATCACCGCCGTGGCCGCTCGAGTTGTGATGAGTAGACGAACTGGGATGCGTATGATTTTCTTGGTTCTTCCTTGTCCGTTTCGAGCCAGTTCGTCTGGTGTACATTTGTGTGAGCTCACTCGTGCAATTCACTGTCGTCTTCAGCACTGCTGCATCTGCGTGCAAAGGCTGTTGCTGACTTGACTGGTGCGCCTCTTCTCCCTCCGACACATTTGGTTGGGTCATCTCGTACAAATACTGAGCAACTGTGGCAATGGGCTCCTGGAACCTCACCCTCCTTCTATTGCCACTGGAGTCGTGATGGACAGCTGAGGGATGCCCTGGATCGCATGTGCTGCTGGGCTCTTTCCAAGTCAGGAAACCTGATGCGTTGGATGCTTGTGATCCCAGGCTTTCCTTTTGTCTCTCCTGCGAGGTTCCTTGGTGTGCCACCTTCACTTTGAAGTTTTTGGAATGTGCTGCTTCTGCGCTATGCGATGACCCTTGCATCACTTCGGAACTATCGCAAGCAGTGGGCAAGTCAGGCAAGAGGGAGATACTGTGTGAGCGTGCCCTTTCCGAGGGTCCCCCCTCACCAGACAAAGCTGGTTTTTGAGATCCTTGCATGGCACCTTGTGCCAGGGGTCTTGAAGGCTGAGGTGCTATGGCTCTGGAGTCTCTTGGCATATCTTTGCCAGTTTCAGACGATGCAGGTACCTTCAAGTTCAATACTTGAGGATGCGCTGCTTCTGCGCTATGCGATGGCCCTTTCACCTCGTCAGACCCATGCAAAGGACTGGACAAATCCGGCAAGAGGGAGATACTCTGTGAAGGTGCCCGTTCCAAGGGCTTCCCCTCACCAGACAAACCTGACATTTGAGGTCCGTGCGTGGCACCTTGTCCCAAGGGTCTTGAAGGCTGGGGTGCTATGGCTCTGCAGTCTCTTGGCATATCTCTGCCAGTTCTGGACGATGCAGGTGCCTTCCCTTTCAAGACTTGAGGATGCGCTGCTTCTGCGTTATTCGATGGCCCTTTCACCTCGTCAGACCTATGCATAGGACTGGACAAATCCGGCAAGAGGGAGACACTGCTTGAGCGTCCCCGTTGCAACAATTCTCCCGCAGTATCATGGGGCGACATTTGAGATCCTTGCAAGCCAGCTTGCGCCACGTGGGTTGAAGGTTGAGCTGGAATGTCTCCAAAGGGCATATCTTTACTGGACGCTGCAGATGACTGCGAACCCTGGCTAAACTGCTGGAGCCATGGGATAGAACCAGGATCGACTGGAGTCCCCACAACGACGGCCTGTGTGAGTGGACTTGGAGTGTAAGGACTGCGCGGCGTGAAGTCCCTGATTTCAACTTCTGTTGAAAATCTCAAGGCCTTTGGCCTCTCCACGAAGCTTTCCGTCTTTGCCTTCTTGAGAATGCTAATTCTTGGCCTCTCTTGTGATTCTGGCAAAGATCCGGTCCGACCAATTCTTGGCTGAGCATCTGCGCTGTCCCATCCAAACTTCGGACTTTCCTGCAACATTTGAGGTCCATGCATAATATTGGCTGGTTGCCGGGTATCACGCTCCATCCCTGTTGCTCCAGAACTCATTGCCCTGAAAGCACCAGAAGAAGCTGGTTGAGCTGGACCATGTTGCACCTTTGCCTCAGTCTTGCTTTGCAAAGGCTGCTTGATCTCACTGACGGTGGTTGCCACCTCAGCAGCTGGTTGAGCTGGGCCATGTTGCACCTTTGCCTGCTTGCCAGTGCAATCCTTTGAAGGCTTCTCTGAAGTTGTCGCTTCAGGGTCGCGTTGCAAAGGCTGCTTGATCTCACTGACGGTGGTTGCCACCTCAGCAGCTGGTTGAGCTGGGCCATGTTGCACCTTTGCCTGCTTGCCAGTGCCATCCTTTGAAGGCTTCTCTGAAGTTGTCGCTTCAGTGTCGCGTTGCAAAGGCTGCTTGATCTCACTGATGGTGGTTGCCACCTCAGCAGCTGGTTGAGCTGGACCATGTTGCACCTTTGCCTGCTTGCAAGTGTCACCCTCTGGAGGCTTCTCTGAGGTTGTCGCTTCAGGGTCGCGTTGCAAAGGCTGCTTGATCTCACTGACGGTGGTTGCCACCTCAGCAGCTGGTTGAGCTGGGCCATGTTGCACCTTTGCCTGCTTGCCAGTGCCATCCTTTGAAGGCTTCTCTGAAGTTGTCGCTTCAGTGTCGCGTTGCAAAGGCTGCTTGATCTCACTGATGGTGGTTGCCACCTCAGCAGCTGGTTGAACTGGACCATGTTGCACCTTTGCCTGCTTGCAAGTGTCACCCTCTGGAGGCTTCTCTGAGGTTGTCGCTCCAGGGTCGCGTTGCAAAGGCTGCTTGATCTCACTGATGGTGGTTGCCACCTCAGCAGCTGGTTGAACTGGACCATGTTGCACCTTTGCCTGCTTGCAAGTGTCACCCTCTGGAGGCTTCTCTGAGGTTGTCGCTCCAGGGTCGCGTTGCAAAGGCTGCTTGATCTCACTGATGGTGGTTGCCACCTCAGCAGCTGGTTGAGCTGGGCCATGTTGCACCTTTGCCTGCTTGCCAGTGCCATCCTTTGAAGGCTTCTCTGAAGTTGTCGCTTCAGTGTCGCGTTGCAAAGGCTGCTTGATCTCACTGACGGTGGTTGCCACCTCAGCAGCTGGTTGAGCTGGACCATGTTGCACCTTTGCCTGCTTGCAAGTGTCACCCTCTGGAGGCTTCTCTGAAGTTGTCGCTCTGGGGTCGCGTTGCATGGGCTGCTGCTTGACCTCCTTGACCTCACACACACACACAAACACACCTACACGCTGGGAAACATCAGGGATCAGTACCATGCGGGGTAGAAAAATATACTTTGGTTGCGTAATGCTTTGATACATGTTCCCATTTTTGGCTGATGATTCGAAATGCATCCATGTTCACATTTATGAGTATTATATGTACATCACATTTAATTTTATATTCACAATTGTAAGATGTTGTGTTGTTTTGTGATGTTTTTGTGATTTCTTTCTTGAAAGAAACACAGGACTGCGTCGGATGATGGGTCTGGGTTGGGGTTTCGTTGCATCCTGTATCGGTCAGTGGGTTCCAATAGGCCCTGCCAGCGAGCTTTCCATGCAACCCCGGGCCCCTTAAATCATTGACAGCACTGCTGATCCAAACGGGGGAGCTGCGCTCTGCCGGAATACTGCAAGGAAATCATGTTCACCATTCGCAGTATAGATGGGGTTGCGTCAAAATTCAGGTATGTATCGGCCCGCGGTGATCCAGACGTATGGATCGGTCTGGATCACCTGCGTTCTAGTATGGATCAAGGGTATGGATCGGCCTGTGGGTTCAGGGTATGGCTCGGGGCTTTACGTTTTGACTCACAGCCAGATAGATAGATAGATAGATAGATAGATAGAGAGATAGAGAGATAAAGAGAGATAAAGAGAGATAAAGAGAGATAGAGAGAGATAGAGAGAGATAGAGAGAGATAGAGAGAGATAGAGAGAGAGATAGAAAGAGAGATAGAGAGAGGGAGAGAGATAGATAGAGATAGATAGAGATAGATAGAGATAGATAGAGATAGATAGAGATAGATAGAGATAGATACAGATAGATACAGATAGATACAGATAGAGATAGATAGAGATAGATAGAGATAGATAGAGATAGATACAGATAGATACAGATAGATACAGATAGATAGAGATAGATAGAGATAGATAGAGATAGATAGAGATAGATACAGATAGATACAGATAGATACAGATAGATACAGATAGATACAGATAGATACAGATAGATACAGATAGATAAAGAGAGATAGAGATAGATACAGATAGATACAGATAGATACAGATAGATACAGATAGATACAGATAGATACAGATAGATACAGATAGAGATAGATAGAGATAGATAGAGATAGATAGATAGAGAACAGACAGACAGACAGACAGACAGACAGGCAGACAGGCAGACAGGCAGACAGGCAGACAGGCAGACAGGCAGACAGGCAGACAGGCAGACAGGCAGACAGGCAGACAGGCAGACAGATGGCTTCAATGGAATCATAAATTCAACAGTCTATCACAACAGCGACATCAACCAATTTCAGGATAGAGAAGCGAAATAAAATGGTCCTCCTCTAGGTGCTTTATCATCAACTTAAGGAGCGTGCGCTGCATGAGGGCTTGAGATACTGTACCTTTTGGCCTTTTGGCATCAGTCTCTAAAACAAAAGGGGGTGGTGGCGTTTGATCATGTATTCCGTGGAATCGCACTACTGAGATCAAGTAGCTCCATAATCTTAACGCAGCTTGACGCATTCTATTTCGCACTACTGAGATCAGTAGCTCCATTGAATTCTGTTTATACATCTTGTCGCATCTTGGAACGCCTTGTTATGCTTGCACCTGCTTTCAGTGTCATAAGTATGTCCAGTTGGCAGGGGCAAATTGCCTACCGCCTTTACATTGCGGTGTTTTCATCGAGTGTTTTTGCACCTAATTTTTCATCTAAAACGAAAAGTATTTCTGGCCCAAGAGTCGTTTCTCTTACTGCACATGTGCACCAAAAAAGCCGTCACTATCGTGTTATCATAAATTGCTACATTCATTGCCACAACTGCTGCGGCTAGCGTACATGGTGCTCCTCCCGGTTTAAATTCGACTCATGCCACTAGTCACTACCTGCTTGGATCTACCAGCTGCCAATATAAAAAGCCATGCAACATATCTGTTCATGACGTGGACGGGTACAAGCAGCGAAACAGTGCAAAACACATGTCACATTCATTCACATGCTAAGTAGCCTCCGGTTCTTGTGGAAGCAGACCTTCAAGCTTCCGCCGCCTCTCCTCCATCTTTGCTGCCATCTGTTCTTTGCTGCTCATCTTCTTCACAGCTTCTTCCGGAGTCGGTTGTTGGATCGCAAGGTCACTGTGCTGACCAGGTTTGCGATGCACCGCAAAATCAGCTCGCCCTACAGCCTCCAGATCAAAGGTTCCCAGTGTTGATGGGAAGCCAGCGATTCCTGCAGAAGCTTGGAGATCACATTCCGGTTCAGGCGGTGCATAGCCCAAGGCCTCAAAGGGATCCTCGCCATCCGCCTCAGAACCAGGCACGTCCATGTTGAGGTCGCCATCCTCTTCATTGCAAATCATAAAGTGCTCTGTAATCGGCGTAGGAGGCTGTAAAGACCTCCCGATCCTCCCATGTGTCCTTGGCGTCTCCAAAAATCTTGACGAACTATTTTCTTTCTCAGTATCGCTGCCGATTTCATAATAATCTACTCCTCCCTTGACTTCTGGGCCCTCCGTACCATAAGCTTGGTCCAAGCTGGATGGTTCCCCCTCTGGCTGCTCTGCATCTGATGCTACAGAGGCGCCAGCAACCAATGACGCAGTGAGTTCTTCATCCTCGTCCTTTTCATCCTTTTTCTTATCCTTTTCCTCATCCGTTTCCTCATCCTTTTCACCCTCCTTGACCTCCAGGACGCTTAGGGCGCTTGCTTCATCAGCTGGCTCGTGCTCTGGCTGTGGAACTTCTTCATCCTCTGCACAGTGGCTCTGCACGCCCAACTCTGCCGCTGTCGTGGAAAACATGGAAGACTCCTGCAACGAACCAACTCCATCCGCACCAGCTGCCTGCAAAGTCTGGAAGAGAAGGCGATGTTGTGACTTTCTGGTACTTTCGATGCTATTTGGGGCTACCATGTCGGGATCGGATTTCTTATGACAATGTGATGTGTTAAGCAGTCACCGTTGTCGTGTGCTGTCAAAATATGTCTAAAATTCCATACAATCTACTCATATCATCTGATAGCCCTTTACTTTCGGTTGTTCTACGTTGCATTGTGCCAGGCAGACATATCAGACCCGTGGCACCTCCTCAAGAGCATAACTTGCTTGAGAGACTTCACATACTTCACCCAGAGGAGCCATCGCTGGCATGGCCTTGCCAGGAAGACTTGGAGGAAAGGCATGGCCACCGTAGCCGCTAGCTGAGGATGTTGCGGCTTCTTGGTTCAGCGGGCCTGGTCCCAACGCCACAACTGTGTGTACAACCTTTGACTTTGCCTGCCCACCTTCCCAGCTGACATCTGTGCCAGTCTCAGCCATTCCAGCTACATACTCATGAAGCTCTGGTAGCCTCTGGTTCTCGTACTCCTGGGTGGGCTCAACTCTTTCAGACTCTTCTCCGCAAGTCGGGGCATCTGTTTCGTCGCGCACTTCTTGAGGACTTTCCATCTCTGTCTGTGTGATGGGAATTCTTGAAGGCGAAAATGCGGCACCGTCAGCAGGGGCAAGAGCCTCAGGATCCATCTGGCTGAGCAGACTGAGTTCTGCATTAAGATGTTGGCTCAGTAGGCAAAGCTCTTCGACCGGCATGTTGCGGTATGGGTTGGCTCGAGCAGGGGAGCTGTCAGAGCTCGTCGGAGAGCCCTGGAAGGCAACAAATTCCTTTGTTTCCACCAGCTCCTCCGCGAACGAAACGGATTTTCGCTGGTAGGGTTCGGAGCTCCTCCGCAGCGCGGACCTTTTGAAGACCTGACCTGGCCAAGTCACAGATCGTGCCAGTCTCCCACCAGCCTCAGGTCAGGCACGGTCAGGCACGGACAAGCTACAGTACAGGATGGGCGCAGCATTCCTGACCTACGTTAAAGTGGATGATGGTATCGGTGAAAGAGAAGATGTGGAAGACAAAGAGAGTTACCCAGCAAACACTGTGGACGCATGCAGGCACAGCAACCACATGCAAACGTGTCATCTCAAATCACGGCTCACACTTGTAGTCTACGCAGTCTGCACAAGGAACCCTCACAGCAAACTGCTTCAACATGTTTCAACAAACCTCGCTTCAGAACCCGGTCAATCAAGGCAAGGACTCGATCAGTGCTTGAACCTGCCCACAGTTGCAACATATGGTGTTATAACACCTGACCTGACCAAATAGCATCTATGTAACAGCCAAGCACATTCCACACGTTCCAGCACCATCACTTTGAATCACTTCGCTAGAACAAACATCATCAAAAATCTACACCCCAGACATTCTTGGATCGGTTTATGTAAGCGGTATTGTGAAAGCATGTACGATGAGCACATGATCCAAAAGATTCTGACATGGCCTGCAGCTTGATCGCGCATGATCTGATCGACCTCAAAACAAGCGGCATTGAGCCTATCGGATAGGGATAGAATGGGATAAATCGAAATAGAATGGGATAGATGGGGGAGCCAGTGGGAGTGGAGCATCGCTATTCTGGGACTATGTGTCTGACCGCAGCATAACGGGCACCAAGGAATCCCTCTTCCTCACTCTCCTCGTCCGACTCCTTGCTCTGCATTCTGATGGAAACAAGCAAGAATATGCGAGAATCATTTCAACATGTTTCAAGTGTATGGGAGCCATGAAGAGATATAAAAAAGATTGAAAGAGTCTAAAACAGCAGGATGTGACGCACTTCTCCTCCTCAGAATCTTCTTCGTAGCTGTCCTTTCAACTGGGCTGTAAAACCATAGGCTGACACGAACCAATGAGTTCAAAGCAAAGCCAACCCCGGGTTCAAGAGCAAAAAACATGCTACAACCCGATCATGTCGGCCGATCCCGACCACAGACTTGAGATTCATCTGACATGTGTGACATCTGCTCTATCCAACCGATCCCTGTTTCAATTTTGCATTGAATGCGGAATGTTCGGCAGCAGCTGTCTTCTTTGGTTCATTTTGGACTTGGTTACCCAGGTGGTGTTCCTCATATTTGTCGTCTTCTTCTTGTTGCATGCGCTCCTCCAAAACGCACTTTTGGTGCCAGTTGGTGCCAGTGATCCAGAAGAAACAAGGACCAATGACAAGCAAAGACCACAAACAAAAAACGCGGCCTGATCACTCCGCATCATGGTGCCAGAGTGACAAGTCAGTTTTTCTGTCCTCACTTTCCACAGAAGATACAAAAAACACGAATGAAGCCAGTGCATCTTCAGCATATCACTACACATGGATGTGAAAGTCAGTGCAAGCTCTAAAGTTACATGTAAACCGGATGATGGGACGCAGCACAGCACATTTGCGAAGTCATTGAGGAAGTGCAAAAGCAAAATGACACAAAGCACTGTGTAGATGCTACTTTTTGAAGTGTTGCTGTCTTTAAATGCATTAAAGGTATGTTTTCGCATCCTTAAAATGCGCAAAGCACCGTGTGGACGCATGTGTCAAAGTTATTCAAAAAATAAATTTTCGTAAGTATTTCATATCATATCAAAACACAACGGGACGCACATACAAAGTGCAGAAACAAAAATCAGGTCAATGTAATCACAATTTGTTTGTTATTGATATTGGTTCTTGATGACAATCTTGCGTAGGTAGAATATCGGGTCTTGTTTGAAATTAGTAGCAGGTAGGGGCACTTGCATGGTGTTGCACGATTTTGAAACCTTTGGAAGTCACCAGCCTCACTGCGGCGACATATTCTTGTCACTCTGGGCTTCACCATTTTTCAACTTCTGCAGGTAAAGCATAATACCCCTTTGGACCGCCCAGGGAGGTTCACTCCTAAAAAAAATGTAAAATCAAATCCTTTTCCAGGGCTCCAGCCTCTCAACATAGAAAAAATTACTTCACTTCGAATGATCCCCACCATGGCATTTATACATGTTCTTACTGGCAAATCTTCTGGCATTCTATCTGACATATCTTCTGGCATTCTATCTGGCATTCTATCTGGCATATGTTCTGGCATATGTTCTGGCAATCTTCTGGCATTCTATCTGGCAAATCTTCTGGAATTCTATCTGCCATATCTTCTGGCATTCTATCTGACATATCTTCTGGCATTCTATCTGGCATTCTATCTGGCATTCTATCTGGCATATCTTCTGGCATTTATTCTGACATATCTTCTGGCATTCTATCTGACATATCTTCTGACACTTTTTCTGGCATTCTATTTGGCATATCTTCTGACATTCTATCTGACATATCTTCTGACATTCTTTCTGTCATATCTTCTGACATTCTGTCTTGCATATCTTCTGACATTCTTTCTGACATTCTTTCTGGCATTCTATCTGGCATATCTTCTGACATTCTATCTGACATCTTTTCTCACATTCTTCCCGTTGAGGTCTGGCAGTGCCCACTGCGATCTGGAAGTCGCGGTTGAGGTCCGGCAGTGCCCACTGCGATCTGGAAGTCGCGGTTGAGGTCCGGCAGTGCCAACTGCGACCTGGAAGTCGCGGTTGAGGTCCGGCAGTGCCCACTGCGATCTGCAACTCGCGGTTGAGGTCCGGCTGTGCCCACTGGGATCTGGACTGCGAGGAGGAGGCGGCGGGTGAGGAGGCGGAGGAGGCAATGGAGGCGGAGGAGGCGGAGGAGGAGAACAGCTCTGATAAAATCTAACAACCCTCACCTGGCAGGTGGGGAAAAAACAACAAACAACCGGGGAAAGGGCAAAGCCGCCAAAGATGGCGAAGAAGAGTAGGCTTGCAAGTTCTTTTTTGGCGTTTTGAACTTACTGTATTGGGCTGGGCCCAGGCACACAGAGCTCCACTGATTGTCTTATCTATGGTAAGTTTAGGATGTATGAAACTATATATTATTTCCAGCGGTCGAGCTTTGATTTGATGGCCTCACTTATGCCAGCCAATTTTGATAGAAGCCTGAGCATACCGAGGAGCAAGAACGGCACGGTACAAAAGATCATATGCGACATGCATACTGCACTGCTAGAACACTTTGTTGTCATATGTTGCCATGTGTACCATAAAATACTTGGGTGATCACCCTGCAAAGCGCAAATCAGAAATATGCAGCTCCCTGAAACTTCATGATCAATACAAATATGCCCACATGATGTGTTCTTATCCAATTATATCCAGCCACACGCAGGTGTGACTGAGGATGAGCTACATGTCCCAGCGCCAAAAGGCGCCCCACCTGTTGCCAAAAATGCCACAGCTAGTTGGATCATACAACAAACCATGTGTACAGAAGCACCCCAACCAGCCAAGAATCAGAACTGTCCTGTGCAGGTGGAATATTGGACTCTGACTCGGACAACGACACCGACCTGGCCGATGAGTTCTTGATTGGCTTTGAACAAGGGGTTCTCTGGCTGCGATAATTTTCCCCCATGGGTAAAACTTCAACATTGCGCTTAAAATCTAAGGCTGAGTCTGCTTCCAGAGTGGACCGACTGGCAAAGGTGGCAAACAACAAGTTCAAGAAGCATGGAAACTGGGACTGTTAGTTTGGGTGTGTTGTTTGTTGGGTCGTACATTCTCAGCACATGGTCAAACATATTGGTGCTTCTTTCTATTCAGGAGTGGTCGATCCAATGATGGCACTTATGGCTAAATGTGGTCGCAAACGTGTGGACCCCCATGCGTGCAGAAACCTTCACAGTCTGATTTTGCGAACAGGAAAGGTACTGCCGGTGACCATTTCAACTGTGACTATGAGAAAACGTATCTCAAGGAGAAAGCTTGCTGCCATTCCAACACTTCACCCACTCTTGAAACTAAGCGATTGGGCATTGACTATATTCAAGTATGGGGGCCATTTCTTTCTCAGAGGCAAATCCTTAGAACATGCCGGAAGCTTTGGAGAGGAATTGAGCGAATTTACCGGACCCCGAGAGGTGGCATCGGCACATTCCATGGGGATGCATCCGTGGGGATGAAGGGCGGGGACGTCAGGGTCAACCAGTGTTTGTACTGTCATACCAGCCGCTTCTCCCCCTACAAGATCAAAAGCCCACTATGGCAGTGCACCTAGGCTTTCTGTTGGGTCCTTTAAGTTCTGGGTGATTGTTTCAATTTCAATGATGGGCTATACCAGCTTGCACAATGTGGTATCTTTGGGGGCCATGCCAACAGTCCCAGGCAAACCTTGTGCACCCGGTTGCTCTTCACGCTGCTCCCGTCCCCATATTCAAAAGAGAACTTGAGTATTGTTCTTGAAGAAATGGTGAAAGATTTGAACCACATGCATGCTGAGGGCATCACAGCAACCCCTTTCAGCTTCAACAGATTTTCATATGTTCCCTGGTACCAGCCTTTCAACATGCCCACAATTGTGTGAACCCTCACTCTGCTGCCTTGTCCAGGTGGAGTGGCACGGCAAGCAGTACACGTACTTCTTCACCTACACAGGGTGCAAGGGGGACTGGCTGTTCTTACGGGCTGCCTTTGGACTGAACTGTGGATACAACTGCACAAGGAAATGCCATCGATGTGACATAACCGACCCATAGCTGAACTATATATCTATTTGATCCAATATCTACCCTTAAGATTGTGTAGTTGTAGCTGGTAGTACCAGCCTGATACCTTTGTCTATCATCTGTTTGGGCCCTGCTTTCTCCGCTCAGGAATGGTATGATGTCAAGACTGCTGTGAAAAAATGGGATGAACCCTTTCTGGGAACATTGGAGGAGTCCCCTTCGGGATTTGCCTACAGAGGAGGGTTGCCGGTTTGTGAGGATAGACTCGGATAGACCCTGATGATGCCCTGCCAAACCACCAGACCCTGGCTACCAGCTTCCAAGCCTCCTTAGCCAAGAAGCTCCTTCGCATTTTTCACCTCGCTTTTGGCCCACTTCGTTGGGCATTCGGCGGCCGTTTGGCCCTTGAAAGAAAACAGCTTCAGGTAACGGCTTATGAGACCGAACCTGATAGGTAAAGGATTTGAATGTGCAAGTGCAAAAAATGAGAGGCAATATCAGCACTCCCCCTTTAAAGTTCCGGATTGGAGCTTTCACAGCCAGGCTCAAGCTGTTCTCACTTGGTGGCTTCTAAACATGCAGTGCAAATTGGAAGGTGATTCGCTCCAAGTGCAGTCGGACATCGCATATCTGAATGTGCATCGCTTTCATACACTTTCAGAAACAGGGTGGCACCAAGAGCAGGAGTTGAACCGTTTTGATATGCAGAGCGTCGGCAACGACTGCGGCGCCATGTAGCCCTTCTCTGTGAAAAGTGCAGGTGGCCTCACGATCAGGATAGCTTCTTGATCACCCTGATCCATCACAGCGTTGAGAAGAGAAGTCTTATGTCAATGACTGCACCAGCCCATTGATGGCGGGATGCTGCCCAGATGGACAGGCGAAAGGCGGCGGCATCAGCGCCGCTGGAGAAGGTTTTTTCGGAATCCTTTTTGGACTCGTAGTTTCCACAAATCACCCAACGAGTTTTGCGCTTGCCGCCATTGGGACCAGATTTGATTGTGAAGACCAACTTGGACGGAATGATCTCCGCAGTGCGGCCTTCTTGAGCAGCTTTCTTTTGAATCTCCTCCAGTTCCTTTCTTGTGATCTTTTTCAAAGCTTCCTTTTCTTCTAAAAGACTTTGAACTTCTGCATCGATGGCTTCCAGCCAACTTTTCCAACTTCTGGCAACCTCTCTTGTCGAGATCACTTTCGTTTGGAGAATTTTGTCCTCCTCACTTGGTTCTTCCATCATTCTCTTCATCTTCGCTACCCATTTGAGTTCTTCTACTGCTATGTCAGGGTCGTCTTCGACCATGTACTTCATCTCTTCTTCTATCATTTTTCCCAGCCTCTGCTTCAGCTGATGAGACTTCTCTCTTTCTGCTTCCTCCTCATTCTTTGAATCTTTCTCCTCAACTTCTATCTTTCTCACTGATGTTTTCTCTCGCAACCTTCTTGTGGTGGTCAAAGCATCAGCGACCTCCTTCTCAATTGCGACCCATTTCTGGTCAGTGATTGGTTCTTTTGCTTTTCGAAGGACATATTTGGTGACTCTTGGCGGTTCATCTTCAGGCTGAACCCAATGTCCATGCTCTTCTGGAGCTGGAAACAGGTACTTGACGGTTTCCACGGTGGGCTCAAAGACACCCTGTCGCCATGTGCGACGTCTGACAAGGACGTCCTGCATGAACGGTGGAAAGCTTGGAGCATCGCCAAGTCGCCAGCTTCTATTCAAGGCATCAGCATAGCGAGCAGCTAATGGCCAACATTCGCTGCCCACATCGGCTTGTTTGCTTGTTTGAGTAGCCAACGGATTTGTGGTTTGAAACTTTTCACAGCCACTTCCACACGGCCATTCGCGCGAGGATCATCTCCAGGTGTGCATGTCAGCACTATGCCACGTGAGTTGGCCCATTTCCGGAAGACCCCGGAGAATTCATGACCTCGATCTGAACGTATTCTTCCAATGTGGAAGCCATCCATCCTGAGCTTGAGGATGAAGTCCATGGCTGTTTTGGTGACTTCTCTCGCAGTTTTGGTGATCATAGCTGCAGCTAAGCCTAAGCGGAAGATCTTGATGTCGAAGCCTCCAGGTTTGGGATCTTCTTCTCCTTCTTTCTTTTCAGGTGGGGGCAAGAGATAGGGTGGCTCAGGCGGAGCTCCCCCTGGGACCGAGACTTCTTCTTTCTTCTCTTCCCCTCCTTCTTTAACCTCATCCTCTTCACCCCAAACATCAACTGGATCTTCTTCATCTTCCTTCTCACCTGCTGCCTCCTCTTGACCTTCTTTCGCTTGAACTTCATCTTTTCCTTCTTCATCTTCAGGGTATACCTCAAAGTGAGGTTAATCTCCATCAGCTTTCGGAACTTCAGGATCTTTCATCTTGTCTGATTCAGCGGGGACTGCCCATGTCAGAGTGCCAACCAACATCCATCTTGCGTAGAGACCTCCAATATCTTTTGCTGGGACTAACGGTCCAGCAACGTCCAAGGAAAGAACTCCTCCAACTGGATATGGAACTTTTCTGTGAGGATGGCACTGCTGCATAGTTTGTTGACATACTGCACAATCTCGACGATATGGAGTATGCCCATGGGCAATGTGTTCATCCCAGCTCAGAGGACGCAGCATTGGGTTGCGCTGCATCACTTGTGTTGTCAAAGCTTCAGCAACCATCGCCATGACGCCAGGGGCCCATCTTGAAAGGCCTTTTGAAGATTTTATCTCCACTCCTTCACTTGCTTTCTTCATTCTTTTGTGGTTGTTGACCTCCAGCTTCAAGTTTCCGCCAAAGGTTGTTGGTTTGGTAGCGGAGCCACCATATTGACCCTGTGCAAACGTAGTTTCATCCCAACCAAACTCCTTTTTCAAGGAGGACCATTCTTTGGTATCCCAAAAGGACACAACTTCTGGCTTGTAGTCCTTGGGCGATGCTGGCTGTTCCAAGGTGAAGCCAACAGGTCTTGGATCTTTTCGTGCCTCATTGATGTAGTTGGAGACCATGGCCAGGAAGATCATGCGCCAAAGGAGGATGTCATCTTCTTCAATCATAGTTTTTTCAGTATCTGAGAGTCCATTGATTCCATATTCTCCTCCTCCCCATGACCTGATTGGGCGTGGACAGTTTGGCTGACCAGGCACCTTGTAGTGACGCAAGACACTTCTGCTTCGGCAATTTGGGCCACCGACGATGGCGTGGATCTTGTTCTCCAGTGCAGCTCTGATCAACGCTGCATAGGGTCCAACTTCAGTTGAAAGGTCATGATGTGAACCTCTTTTGATGTCAATCTCCAACAGAGCGGAGGCTTCACCTCCTTGTTGATGCCATGCACGGGCAAGAGTAAAACCAGAGTCCTCTCCTGCATTCGCTTCCTGGTTCTTCGGTTCACAGGCAAAGTTGACCATGAAGTTGGCTCGTCTGCTAACCTGGACTTTATATCTTGTGGAAGACGTCGAAGAACTGGATGTGTTTCTACAAGCTTCTTCATCCATTCAACTTCTTCTTTAAAGGTTCTTTCTTCGACTTTCCCCAGGGTTGCAGTCTGCTCCAACTCCTCTATCAGTTCAAGGGTTGTTGACCCGGCCATTTGAGGGCAACCACCGCTAACTTGGATTGGCAAAATGCCACGCTGTGGGTGACGAAGGCAAACTCCTTCACTATTCCATTCGATTTTGCAGCCAAGCTTTTCAATGAGCAAACCCATTGGTAAGATCGGCTCCGCATCAGCCCTCTCAGGGACCATCACGCCTCCTGGAGTCATTCGCAGTTGAGCTTGTTGGCCATTCGCAAGGGTCACAGGCACAGTTTTGTATCCTGCAAAGGGTTCCACAGGACGTAGTGGACGGAGTGCGTGAGTAGCCCCTGAGTCTACAAGGCCTTGTGATTTTCCAAAGGAAACTTGGCTCAATTTGAACACCTTCAACTTCAGCGAGTTCAGTTGTTGCTGAAGTCGGTCAACAACTTCATCTCTTGGCTCATTTGCAGAACTTGTTGTGGATGAAGTGGCGGACGCAGATGTTGTCAGGCTTTTCAGCATCTTATTCGTTTGTTCCAAGAAGTCTTTCATAGAAGCCTGTTCTGAGCTTCCTTCGTCCTCCTTGGCTTTTGAACTTGATGGTGACTTCTCCTCCCCCTCAACCTTCTGCCTTCGTGGCCTTTGCGGAGAGGTGTCATTCGAATTTTTCGGTCTTGTGCATGCTGGCGACATATGATCAGGGCAACCACAATTCCAGCATCTCCCGTTTTTCATCTTTGACATGGGAAAAGTTGCATGCCTTTCCCCTTCTGCAACCTTGGTCTGTGAGGAAAAAACGTCATTTCGGCTTTTTGTCCTTTCCATCTTCTCTTTTTGTAGGTGACCTTCCAGTCTCTTCTTCGCCTTTCTTTGCTTTTGACTTCTCTGCTTCCAAAGACTTCAGCTTCGGCTGTTCACCCTTGGCAGCGGCCGAGGATGTTCCTGGCTTCTTCTCAGTCAGAGCCAGTTGTTCAAATTCAGCAAGAAGGTGGTATGCAAACTGCTCCACATTTACATCATTTGGTGTAGTGTCCACACCAAGCCCAGACCGGACTAGGGAGACTCTGAACTGCAGTTCTCGCTTGCTTTCCAATTGCTTCTTTGACATTTTGAGGAGCCCCTTCAGTTGTAGGGCTGGATCCGGAGGAACAGCTCCGATTTCTTTTGCGCGATTTCTCGCCTCAGTGCTATCGGCGCATCCATGAAATTCTGAATCTCCGGAGGCTCTTCTAAACTCCTCTGGATGTTTTGTTTTTCAGAAACTCCTCCAGGTAGGCAACCAAGAGATACGTTACCACCCCAAATGTTGACATTCTTCTTGAAACAACAGGTTCATCACGAACACTTTGGGGAACTGCTTGAAGGATCATTGAAGAAACTCGGCGTTCAACACGTTGCCACTTTTCCATGGTGATCTCAGGCGGTGCTTGACAGGGGTGCTTGATTCTTTCCAAAGGGCTCAAACTCATGTGAAGCTTGTACCACTCCTCAGCTGATTTGACAGTGCTTCGCCACCATTCACCTGCAGTTAAGGACAAGTCGGCTATGATGGGCTCTGCCAGCAACAGCCAATCGCCAAGGATCAACGGTCCTTGTTGGGCTTCCCATGGTGCTAGAACAGGAAGATCAGGACTGCCAGTTCGGATGGTTTCGACACCCTTCACCAAGCCAGCCTCATCTTTGGAGTCGTTCATTCGCTTTTGCATCTCTTTCATAGATTCCATCATCAGGGCCAGAAACTCCAACGACTTTTCGGTGAACGCAGCTGATGAATCTCCAGCGACGCTTTCGCTTCTTTTGAATGGGGGTCTGCAGCCTCCTTTGATCTTTGAGAACCTGTGCCGCTTCCATCAGGGGGTCTATCAGCCTCCTTGGTGGTCTCGGCCTCCTTTGCACAGGGGGTCTACCAGCCTCCTTGGTGGTCTCGGCCTCCTTTGGGGTCTTTGGGGGTCTATCAGCCTCCTTTTTGGTGGGTCTTTCAAGCTGGCCATCAGAGCAATTTGGAGTCGCACACCGCTGGTCTTCATCCATCTTTTGAAACTCCAAAGCATCGACCCTTTCCCTCAGAAACTGATTTTCCCTCAATTTGTTTCCTATGTTTTTCCTCAACTCTTGATTTTCTCTATCTACATCTATACTTCTATCATGTCCATAAAAACCACTGGACCCGATCCGGCCCTCCTCATGCATTCTCCGTTCATCTTGTTCAAGAAAGAGAGGTCGTTGGACCGGAGGCATCAATTGCCCAGGTGGCATCAGAGGCAAGGGAGCTTGAGGGACATGTTGTGGATATAGCCATGGTGCTTGTGCATACAGCTCTTGGAACCTTCTCAATTGGTTTTCATCAAACAAAGGAGTCATGGGCGTGGACATGTGCGGAGGTTCAGACATCTTCGGGTCTGAAACAGGAGCTACGCTTTTTTCCAAACTCCCAACCCCATGCTGTCCTGCTTCTTCACACCTTCTGCGGAAACTGCAACCTTAGTCTCCTTAGTGACTCCAGGTTCCTCAGTGGCATTCTCAAGAGGGCGGATCTCCTCTGCAGTTATTGAAAACTGGGGACAGTTAAAGCTTTTACCCTTTCCATTTTCTCCTCAAGCGGAAAACGGGACTGAGCCTCCTTAGAATCACCTTCAGCCTTCTTATCTTCTAGTGCTACTTCTTCTTTCACCTGTTGATCCAACCTTCTCTGAGCTGCTTCTATTTCCCTTTGGCCCTGTTCCAATTCCTTTTGGGTGGCCTTTCTTCTTTGCATCATTGGGTCCATCGCGGTGGTGGCAGGCTTTGGGCTCATAACCTGATGATGCCCTGCCAAACCACCAGACCCCGGCTACCAGCTTCCAAGCCTCCTTAGCCAAGAAGCTCCTTCACATTTTTCACCTCGCTTTTGGCCCACTTCGTTGGGCATCCGGCGGCCGTTTGGCCCTTGAAAGAAAACAGCTTCAGGTAACGGCTTATGAGACCGAACCTGACAGGTAAAGGATTTGAATGTGCAAGTGCAAAAAATGAGAGGCAATATCAGCAGACCCAGCCCACACATACGCCATTGATGGCATTGGCAAAAGGTTTCTTGCAAGCAGTTTGATTTTGTTGTGCCACTTCGGTTACTTTGGGTTTGGAAAGATTGAAATGAAGTTGAACAATGCCTATGCTCCCTTCATAGCATATTGCGAAGCCCGGGGAAAGCATACTACAATCCTTGAATTTTCCAGCAAGACCCTCAAACTTCCTCAAAACTCGCATCTTGGAATCATCTTAAGAAAGAAGTTTGTGAACACACCGCAAATCCCCATAGTCAGCTGAAACTAACTGTTGAGTTGCCCCTGCAATGTGCCCGAGGTACAACAACTACCCTGCAGGTTTGGGCAAGGGATTTGATTCTGGAGTGGTTGGCGCCTGGTTGGACGAAGAGCTTGCCCAGGTGTTGCCAGCCTCACTTGCCACTGGGTTGAAGGGGTTGGTGGACCAGCTGTTGTCTTTTGACATGGGTGTGTTTGCAAACCATACCAAAATAAGTGTTTATCATACTTGGTTTTACCATGTTGTACCAAAAAGAACAATGGCTGCTTTCGGGGTGGCCATGATGTGTGCCCAGGACCTTCGTTTCCAAGAAGTTGCAGAGGTCTTGATTTGGACATCTCATGCATGCAGCCGCTATTGGCGGACCATTTATGCATCTGGATTGTGGCTGAACCGCAACACTGCCCGACAAATAGTCTCTGACGGATGGGCTTTTACAGTTTCTTGCCCAAACAGAAAAATGGCTCTTTGTTTCTCTTCCAGCTTCTCCCTTTGTTAGAGAACCGTATCTAAGCTCAGGATGGGTACTCTACCCTAGCTTCGCTGACTGCAAAGATGGGCTACCGTTTGTACAAGATCCGTCCAAAGCTGCATATGATGTGTCACACTCAGTTGCTTGGTGAACATGCTACTTGAAAATAAAAGGACCGGATAACCCCACATGTCAAGCCTTTATGTATCTAAGGTTAATGTGAACTTCGGGGAGGTGTGAGAAGTGAGGTGTGAGAAGTGGACTTGTGATGTCAGGTGTGAGAGGTGGAGCTGTGATGAGTTCTGATGTGATAAGTGACGTGTGAGAAGTGGAACTGTGATGAGTTGGGATGTGACAAGTTGTGATGAGTTGTGATGAGTTGTGATGAGAAGTTGTGATGTGATAGGTGAGGTGTGAGAAGTGGAACCGTGATGAGTTGGGATGTGATAAGTTGTGATGAGTTGTGATGAGTTGTGATGAGAAGTTGCGATGTGATAAGTGGAGCTGTGATGAGTGGTGATGATAAGTCTACGACGGCGGAGGCGGGAACAGGAACGGCGGGATCCAAGTGAAAAACAAGAGCCCGACGCATGATACATGCAGCACACGAGCTCTTTTTCAAGAGAGGCCGCGCAAGTTCAAGCGTCATAATTTTGTGCAGTGTAGAGTACCTGGCACAGGTGATGAGGTAAAAGAAATATGAAATGAACTGTGACCGAAAGTAGCGGAGTGATACACTGTCGTCTGTATGTTCCCTGTTAAACGTAAAGGTTGAACAAAAGTGTTTCCCAAATTGATTCACAGGTTGGCGGTTTGAACCGCTCTGAATAATATAATTCAGTTTGGGTTGCTATTCCCATGCCAATGTTCACATAACTGTTGAAGAAAGGAATGCCAGGTCAACAGAAAAACTCCTGCACGCCAGATCTGAGCCATCAGCAGTGAGAAGCACGATGATGTCAACCAGCTGCGGACACGTAGAGTTAGCTATCACAAAGCAGCTTTGCAACCCATAACTGTCTCATGTGTGCTATACACAATGAAGAGGCACCGACACGACGGCATCTGACGGCATCTTTGCTGTATCAGCAGTACTCAGTTTCATCGTTTGCTGTGATCTACTTCTGTACCTATGTTCCGAGGTAGTAACAAGGCCCGCAGAGGTCCACATAAAAGCTCCTGCATGCCAGATCTGATCCATCAGAAAGGATAAGAACGAAATGACTGCTTGTGTTTCTACCAATAACAACGCCTGCATGGGTCAACCAAAAAAACCATGCATGCCAGAGCTGATCCATCAGCACGGTGAAGCACGAAATGACTGCTTGTGTGTCACAAGAAATTCTTGCAGTAGTCACCGCGTGCAAAGAACTCTCCGATCCTTTTTTAGCACAACTGCATCGGACGACGTGCGTCGCCCAAGTACACACAATGCAAAAGGCAAGAATGCCATAGCAATTCCACCAAAACATCCCCAAGCTAAGCCCGCTTGCTCCTTGCAATCAGAACGTCTGTGTTCAAATGCATGTACAGCATCAACATTGCCTGTCAGAAAGAGAATGGAAAACAAATACGCAATGACAACTTCGCGACACATTGACGCATCATCTGCTGGCCTGTGCCTGTCAAACATTGCTTGACCTGAAAGTTCAATGATAATAACATATCTGCTGGGAGCAATGTGCTATCTACACGACAGACTTCAAATGCAAAAGCAAAATGACAGAAAATCAATGCAATTTTTCTCCCATCTTCGGACTTCAAACTTATTGTACTGTACAACAACTTCTTCAGCTCGCACTAGACAAGAACGTTTTTTTTCCATGGACGATCAGGGCATGCTCTGAACAATTCGACAGGGCATGCTGTGAACAATTCGTGACACAGAGCCAGCACGTCCGAAGAGAGACGGCGCTTTCAATCCTTTCTGTTGACTCGCACCACAACACACTGACCCAAGAGTATTGCCAACAAGGACACAAGGACTGGATCCATCGTAAACACTCACGATGAACAGGTTTGTATATAAATAGTAAAGTCGACTGGTGCAAGACCTTGAAACAGTCACGCGTCATCATCAAAATTGCAGGCGATATTGTCACACCGACTCATCACCACGACTTGGGTGCTACATCCAAAAGCAGTCTACAAAGTCAAGAAGCCATGAACGCGTCGCCCTGCCAAGCGGCGCTGTCACGTTCCTCTTGCGGTAAGCCGTCTCGCATGCCACGAAGGCGCTTCAACGGAGTGATCCAATCCTTGTCAAACTTGAAACCTTCCTCCTGAGATTCAGTGATGCTGATGTGCTTCCAAAAGCTCGTCACAGCCGGCACCTGTTCCGCTGCGACCGGCACATGCCACAAGACCGAATATTCACCCAGAGTCTCCGTCTGACCAAGCACGACTTGAAAGACTTGACCAGGCTGGGCTCGGAGCATCCAGTTGACCGCCGAAGCAGGACCGGCACAGCGTAGCTTGACTCGATGCGGCACGGCCTCTGTCCCCTCCGCGGTCTCGGACAAGACACAATCCACCGATCGCTTGACACGGATGGCCGACGCCGTGTTGGGGTCTTGTTGCAAAGCCTCATCATCTGCGAGATTCACATCATTGAACGCCACCAAAGCACGTAGCGTGTTGGCATCGATGTGGCCAAAAGCAAACATCCCGAGATCCTTTTCCTCTGTCACACCACGAAGAGCCACCACGGGACATCCTGCGTGCAGATGGTGATGTGGAACCTTGCGTTGCAATTTTTCAGAACAGTCAGGAACAAAGGTGCCACCGGCCACCAAACAAGGCTCCATGTAGCGGAGATCAAGTTCCATCACCTCTTGGTATTCGTTGTCACGAAAGGTGAAGCGGCACAACCACTGCGCGCTCCGAAACATGTCACGAATGGTGATCCGGAACGCTGCCGTGTCCTGCAGAGGTTCACCCAAAGCCACGCTCAACTGCTTGGCGGTAGACAAAAGCGCGTCGTGGTAAACCACCACGCTGCACTGGGCATTCGAACCTGCTATCGTGAACAGCGAGGCGTCGCTCGGTCTGGGCGGTCGGGTGCACCTACAGGGCCATTCGTTCGGGTGACAGTCCCATGCATCTAGGTTGGTGCTTTCATATAACTCTATTATAGGTGTGTGAAAAGGAACCACGAGCAAGGCATGTTGCAACACGAGGTGATGAGTTAGATACACACGCCTGGCAAGGCGCTGCTCGTTTGCACGTAGAACAACTCACCAACAGCCACTCATCCGTCTCGCTCCGCACAGACGTGATGCCCATCACCTGCAAGCCAATGACTTCGAAAACCGTGTCGACCTTACGTAAGGTTCCAGGCACGATCACACCAATCAGACAACTCAGAGATGTTGCAACAGCAGGGCAGTTCTTGTAGTCTTTGACCGGAATGTTGGTCAACATGCGGCAATCATCTTTGTCACCCAAGTTTGCTGTCCTTAGCGCAACAGACAAGGACAGTAGCAACTTTGAAGCATGCTGCATTCAAAGACTTTAGAAAACAGAACAACATTGATAATAATGTGCACTAGAACAGGAAACGACGTTAAGATATGTCTGCAGATTGTCATGCAATTGGTTGCGAACCACGTCAAGTCAAGTTTCACGTGCTCTGCCAATTCATCCGGACAAGGCAGAATCTGCGTTCCACGCCAGCTACCGAGTTCCCATGATGCAGTATCTCCAGGCTTCTTCGAGACGAGCACCTGGTACAACAAAATGCACGTATTGACAGCAACGGACGCCAGCTTCTCAGCCATATCTCTCCAGAAAGCACATCGCACTCTCGTCATCCCTTCTTGAATGATGGCATTGCACACCGACGCCGTTCCGTTGCTAGTCAATCTTTCCGAGCTACCTGGATTTTCCACCACCACAGCCGCCACACAAATCTGCTGCCGATCCCGCACGCGCGACAAGGACACCAACGGCACCAGTGGATGCGTCGTCGGCGGCAGCGACCACGGCAAAGTTTCAACCTTGGCGATGATGACTTGCACACCCCAAACGCCTTTGAGACGAAGATGATAGTGCAACTTGGACGTGGAATACTGCTGGGCGGCGGAAATGATAGTTCCGCCGGAAATGGTGACCAAATCACCGATCTGGCATTTCTTTTGGACTTGCTGAGCAAGCTCCCCCCAAGCTTCCACGTAAAGAACCTCCGAAGCGTTCTCTGTGGCGCTGAGATGCAGCTCAATCTTGGTCGAACTGCTCGTGAGAGTTGCTTTGCCGGCCTTTCCTTTGCCGCCCTTGCCCTTCGACGGAGCAGCCGGAGATGATGTTTTGCTTCGACTTTCAACTTCCTGCGTGCTGCAAATGACAATGCGACCAGCCACAGCAGTGCCCTGCGCACCTTGGTATTCTGAAGGTTTCAACAGCACTGGCGCCGACATGGCTGCTCTTCGTCACACCGACTCAAAGCTGTCACGCTTGATGTCACAACGACTGATGTCAACCAGCTGCGGACACGTAGAGTTAGCAATCACAACGCAGCTTTGCAACCCATAACCGTCTCATGTGCACAATATACACAAGCCATCATCAGACCTGCCGAGAAAAGTCGCAAACGTGGACACTCGATATGTTTTCTACATGGCTACCACATGTTCATGTGCAACACAGCTACCACCGGTTCATGTGCAAAACAACACTGATGTATGTGATATTTCTTCCGTCCGTAGATGCCGCTGCTGTGAGACTCGCACAACTAGTCACACCGACGCGTTGCTGACATTGGAACATTCGGTATACAAGTCATATCTAGCAATACAGGTCATACTCACTCAGGGCGGCAGGTTGTCAACCTCACAAGATCGCGCAATGCTTCGCGTTGACAATACCATTCATGTAGCACCCAAAAAACATGATCTCTTTGCGTCCACGGTGCCAAAGAGGGTCGAACTTTGAGGAGCAAACACAAAGACTCCATGGGTGACAGGTCATGGCGAAACAACAGCCATGCGCACAAAGCAGCGCTGCTACGATGGATTCCACCAAAGCAATGAAACAGTACCGTCAAGGGCAGGATTGCATGAGCGCAAGCTGTTTCGTATAGCATCAGCTTCTCGCACATTTGGATCCACATCGTGAACCATTGTTGGGCCATGTCGGCACAGACGTCTGGTCTGAAATTGTGGTTGGTTTTGACATCGTCCATCGACCACGCATGATGCGTCACATTGGCACTACGGAAACAGTGCTCCCAGCCCTCATATGGCTGACCGCGAATCTTTTGCATTTCCCGTCCGCAAAACGACAAGACCATGGAGATTGGAGCATCGGTGTTCTCATTGTGTTGTTTCACATGGTTTGCAGCAGCCAGACTTCCCAGGTAGTAACGCTGCTCGCCAGTCTCCGACACAAAGATTTGACACAGATCACAAGGCCATCGGCCATCGGCTGATGTCACCAAAATCATAAGGAAAAGCAGCAAGACTGCGACACAACGGTGTGTGATGCTCTGTTGCTGTAGCAGCGTGCCGAATGTGCCACAGTGCCTCATCACGCAATTTTTCAACAGCGTCGCTCCATGGACGCAGCATAGTTTCTGTCCTATGAATAAAGGTTGAACAGGAACGGCTTCGAATGAAAGTGGTGTCCGTTCATACCAAGTTGAAAAATAGAACAAAGCCAAAGATCCTGCATCGAGTCATTTCGGTGACTGAGCAAAGAACGAAGCATCGGCGCTGCAAGACCGGAATGTTGGTCAACTCCTGCAGGAGGCTCTGTGTGCTGCGCCTGCCACGCGAAAGGAGGCCGCGGCCCCAGCGGCGCCCACGCGCAACTCCTCCAGGAGGCTCTGTGTACTGCGCCTGCCACGCGAAAGGCGGCCGCGGCCCCAGCGGCGGCCACGCGCGCCGCAACTCCTCCAGGAGGCTCTGTGTGCTGCGCCTGCCACGCGAAAGGAGCTGCGCCTGCCACGCGAAAGGTGGCCGCGGCCCCAGCAGCGGCCACGCGCGCCGCAACTCCTCCAGGAGGCTCTGTGTGCTGCGCCTGCCACGCGAAAGGCGGCCGCGGCCCCAGCGGCGGCCACGCGCGCCGCAACTCCTCCAGGAGGCTCTGCGTACTGCGCCTGCCACTCTGTATTGCACCTGCCACACGACAGCCAGCCGCGGGCCAGCGGCGCCCACGCGCGCCGCAGCTCCTCCAGAGGGCTCCGCAGCTCCTCCGTGAGTGAGTGAGTGGAGTGGAGTGGAGTGGAGTGGAGCGGAGCGGAGCGGAGCGGAGCGGAGCGGAGTGGAGTGGAGTGGAGTGGAGTGGAGTGGAGTGAGTGAGAGAGTGAGAGAGTGAGAGAGAGAGAGAGAGAGTGAGTGAGTGAGTGAGTGAGTGAGAGAGTGAGAGAGTGAGAGAGTGAGAGAGTGAGAGAGAGAGAGAGAGTGAGAGAGTGAGTGAGTGAGTGAGTGAGTGAGTGAGTGAGTGATGAGTAGTGATGAGTGCGGCGCGGCGGTGGCGGCGGACGGAGGAGAGCGGCGGGATCCAAGCGAAAAACAAGAACCCCACACAGTGATGTGGGGAAAAAAACAGTTGATAACTTGTGATTTTCTTTAAAAAAACAAATGCCTGAGGCTAGACCTTCAGACCTCGCTGGCTAATCCCCGAAGTGCGTATGTGATGAATCCTGCGGCCCACATGACGTGGGCGGATGAGGACTTCATTGGACGGATTAAATCGGATTAGCAGAATAAGTAGAAGAACCATGAAGAACCCATGTTCTAACAGCCCCGGCTCGGAGTATAGACCGAGCCCTTGGCCATTATCGGCGACGGTCCGAAATGTTTGGCCCAAGCTACTTGGATCATCTTGACTTAGTTCCTGAGGACCCAGCGTGAAAATGAGCTGCTGTAGGCATCGCAGTTGGTGTGGTATGCTGTAGGCATCTGAACTCGAGCGCTTGTTGGTGATTCGGGCACTTATATGGGCTTTGATCGGAAGCTTGCATTCAGTCATATTTGAAATACAAGTCTTTGAGCTTGCACGAGCTTGCGCGAGCTTGGGCAAAGAGAATGCAAAGAGGCGCCTTGCAGGTGCAAGGCATCTGTCGGATAAGGCTCTCATCATTTGCAACACATATATGGGCAATCTCGGAAACTGGGGATTCACGAAAGGGACATCAACAGATTTGGCAAGGTCCCATCGCTTACCAGAGGGAAAATAATGTATGCGCACACGTACAACACAACCTTCAGAGGGCGCATTGCTATTTGGGAAGGTCCCGCCGCTTACCTTTTACAAAATTTGTAAGCTGATTTGGTCAATTCGTGGAAATACCATGAAATACCACTACTTCATTTGAGAGTTTAACACATGGGGTTGTATAAAAACCCCGTATCTTTTTAAATTACCCAAAATCACGTTAATTATCGTTTATCATGTCATGGCAAGTGGCATGTCCGTGGTGCGGTCGAGCATGTGCCATAGCCATTCTCTTAGCGCAACTGGGCGATGCATTGTGGCGCGCAAAACAGATGGTTTCCACCCATTCTCGAGCTGAAGGCTTCCGACCTCTTCTCATCCACATCCATGTTCTACCTAGAGGCTCCAAACTTGTGTTTTGGACATCGTTTCTACAAACGACATCATCTGCCTCGTTTGGTTTTCGAACGCGCGCTTTGGCGCGAAAAACGCGCGCGCATGGTTGCGAAAACCTGCGCTTTGTATTGCAAATTTGCAGCGAGAGGTGTCCAAAGCACATCGGATCCTCTAGGTATAGTGCATGCAAACCTTATAAGCGTGAAACTTGGAACTGCGATCGCTCACTTGCAGACCCAGCCCACTACAACTGCGATTGTGTAGGAATTTGCCGTAGCGGGTCACCCTCAAATGCATGATCTGCCGGCCGGAGTGCTAAGTCAAACCCTATACATTGCGAGCCACTGCCGTCAAACTCACTGAAGGCAACACATCGGTCGCATCTTCATTTGAATGGCTTTCTGGTTGGGAGTTGAAATTGATAGGCGAGAGCTGCAGTTTGCGTTCAATTACTCGGACGCCAACTCCAACGTTGTCATTGTGTGTGTGTTATCTTTGGTATCGAGAATATGCCTTGGCTGCTGGCGCACGAGCCATGTGATCAATCCAATGATTTCCCAATTAATCATTGCATCATTATATGAGTGGACGACTCATTTTTTTCCAATGGTACCGTACTATTAGGTATGAATCGACAGCCCGCTCCTTGCTGCTTCAAATTTTGAACCCAAGCTGCAACACTTTAAAAATCAATGTCTCCATGGCTGTCTCAACATTTCCCAACACCACACATGGGCCTTTCACACTGAGGCTGGCACTTGTGTAGTTCAAATCCTTTGTGGCGTGTGATGGAAGCGCAACCTGTCAAACCAAACGCCCGCACTTCATCAATGGGATTCTGATTTCAGGCATCAAACAAAATCCGTCAAATCCAAGAGAAAAAAAGACATTTGGCTGTCAGTGGCACACACGACGAGGGCAACAGCCCCTAATGGAAACTTGAAGGGCAATGCCCGACGATTGGGCAAGCGTCATGAGAACCCCAAGCTTTGGTTTCACCACCTGAAGCGACCCAACCTCAAATTGTCAGTTACGAGTACCCTGCTGAAAGAAAAATGAACCCATGGCACACTTAAATCACAGCATGACTTTCATCTGAAACCACATCTAAAACATCAACTTTGGTTTGGTCAAAAACCGGGTAAACCATGCTATAATCCACTGCATCCACGGCTTCATCATCACATTCTCCACTGAATGGTGATAACGGGGCGGAAAATCCTTCGGTTTCAGCCATCCCCGAGAGAGACCCAGCCTCAATGTTGCGCACCATTGCCTTCACCTCTGCTTTCACCCGGCTGTCCTGACCATGGCGCCAGTTCCATCTACTTTGGCTGCGCTCAAGGTATGTTCACCGTTGTTCACCCATGAGTTTTGGGCACAGGAAGACCCCTGTTGAAACTTTAAACTCAAACTGTAGCACTCCGAACCAAATTGGAAAGTGGGGAGGTTTTTGGAATGGGGAAAGCCGCCATCCACCATCATTAAAAAAATTACTTTACTTCGAGTCATCCCTACCATGACATTTATACAATTTTTAACGGCAAATCTTCTGGCATTCTATCTGACATATCTTCTGGCATTCGATCTGGCATTCTGTCTGGCATATCTTCTGGCATTCTACCTGGCATATCTTCTGGCATATGTTCTGGCATATCTTCTGGCATATGTTCTGGCATTCTATCTGGCATATCTTCTGGCATATCTTCTGACATTCTATCTGGCATTCTATCTGGCAAACATGTTGGCATTTTATCTGGCATACCTTCTGGCATTCTACCTGGCATATCTTCAGGCATTTTATCTGGCATATCTTCTGGCATTCTATCTGGCATATCTTCTGGCATTCTACCTGGCATGTCTTCTGGCATATGTTCTGGCATATCTTCTGGCACTTTATCTGGCATATCTTCTGGCACATCTTCTGACAATCTATCTGGCAAATCTTCTGGCGTTCTATCTGGCAAACATTCTGGCACTTTATCTGGCATATCTTCTGGCATTCTATCTGACATTCTATCTGGCGTTCTATCTGGCATATCTTCTGGCTTTCTATCTGGCCGTTGAGGTCCAGCGGTGCCCACTGAGCTCGGAAGGTCCCAGGTTGAGGTCCAGTGGTGCCCACTGAGCTCTGAAGGTCCCAGGTTGAGGTCCAGCGGTGCCCACTGGGCTCGGAAGGTCCCTGGTTGAGGTCCAGCGGTGCCCACTGCGCTCGGAACCTTGCGGTTGAGGTCCAGCCGTGCCCACTCAGATCGGCAGCCGGCAGTTGAGGTCCAGCAGTGCCCACTGCCACAGAAGTTGGCAAAGAGATTGGCGAAGAGTTGGCAAGGCGGAAGTGGACATGGAAGTGGATGCACAGGTGGTGGAGGAGAAGGAGGAGGATGAGGAGGAGGAGGCGGAGGAGGAGGAGGAGGCGGAAGAACAGCTCTGATAAATCTAATTACTTTACTTCGTGTGATCCCCACCATGACATTTATACATTCTGATACTGGAAAATCTTCTGGCATTCTATCTGACATATCTTCTGGCATTCTATCTGGCATTCTGTCTGGCATATCTTCTGGCATTCTACCTGGCATATGTTCTGGCATATCTTCTGGCGCTTTATCTGGCATATCTTCTGGCATTCTATCTGACATTTTATCTGGCATTCTATCTGGCATACCTTCTGGCATTCTATCTGGCATATCTTCTAACATTCTATCTGGCATATCTTCGGGCATATCATCTGGCAAATCTTATGGCATTTTATCTGGCATATCTTCTCGCATTCCTTCTGACATTCTATCTGGCATATCTTCTGGCATTCTATCTGGCTTTGGAGGTCCAGCGGTGCGCACTGAGCTCGGAAGGTCCCAGGTTGAGGTCCAGCGGTGCCCACTGGGCTCGGAAGGTCCCAGGTTGAGGTCCAGCGGTGCGCACTGAGCTAGGAAGGTCCCAGGTTGAGGTCCAGCGGTGCGCACTGAGCTGGGAAGGTCTGAGGTTGAGGTCCAGCAGTGCGCACTGAGCTCCGAAGTTGGCGAAGAGCTTGGCCAAGAGTTGGCAAGGCAACAGTGGACGTGGAAGTGGAGGCAGAGGTGGTAGAAGAGGAGGAGGACGCGGAGGAGGAGAAGGAGGAGGAAGGAGGAGGAGGAAGGAGGAGAAGAACAACTCTGATAAAATCTAACAACCCTCACCTGGCAGGTGGGGAACAACCCTCACCTGGCAGGTGGGGAAATAGTAGTTGTCAACTATCAAAATTTCAAAATCTGAAACCACATTTAAACAGCAAATTTGGTTTCGTCTCAAGCAGGGTAGCCCACGCTAAATCCGAAATCCACTGCTTCATCATCATTTTCTCCACTCATCACTCACTGGCCAGAAAGTGGTGGAAAATCGAGGACCCCAGCCTCAATGGTACGCACCATTGCCTTCACTTCTGTTTCCACTCGGCTGTCCTGACCCGGTGAATGATTATCCATGACCTAGGATGAAAATTGGGCATCAAAAATGCTAAGGACAGACTGGGTGATTGAAATCGAAACGATTTGCGTGGTTCTCGATTCGTCTTCAATTTTTGCCCGTGCCCAAAGCACCCAAAATCTATGGGACCAAATGGCCAGCACAAGAAGCACCATACACGATCATTCCCACCTATGCTGGATCCGGGTAAATTCTCGGAAGATATGGCGGAACCTCCAAATCGTAGCCTTTTGATCATCGGGTTGGATATTTCCAAGAATTGGAGATCCCCCAAATGGCAATTCACCATTGTGAAAGGAAAAATGATTATAAATCATACGATTCTGAAGTAATTACCCTACGTATCCCTACGTATGTTCAAGTAGCATCCATGTTACAAGTATTGGGCACGCCATGGCACGACTGACAATTTAAGAACAGAGTGATAGGATATTTGGAACCCATTCTTTGCATGGTGTCCACCCCGGCACCTTCCGAATTCCACTCCGCTCGGGCGTGCGGAATCAATCTGACAGCGATCCTGATCCTATCTTCCTGCTTTCATTCCATTTCTGCATGTGTTTTTTGTGTATGGGTCAAAGTTAAGGGATTTTGCTGCGAACACCACTCTGCTCAATCTCATCGGAATTCAATGTGGTGTTGGTCTCATCATATTTTCTCATTGACGTTTGAGCCGAAAGGGCGGTGGTCAAAGTTCGTTTTAAAAACACATCTGAAACATTTGAATTTGAAACTTCACTAAGCTCAGGTGCCCGTATCTGTTAAGGCAGGATTGCCTGAGGGTGAACATATCTGACAAAAAGTTGCCGAAATACTGATCCCAAAAGCGAACATTGCAACAAGCGTCTCAGGATCTTCGGGTAAGGCGCATGACAAATCGCAAATCGCATCAAATCGCATCAAATCGCATCAAATCACATCAAATCGCATCAAATCACGCATATTTTGCCTCAAACGCAATCAAAAACCTACGTCATGCGCGACTTTCTGACCACGCGTGAAACTTAGAATCAAGTTGTGGATTGCGGCACAGTTCGAGATCCCCGTTGACTCGCATCAGGAACTATTGGGCTAACCAACCCTGTATATCCCTTTGTTCTGTCAGAAAAAGTGCCATGTACGACTTCGGAGTCAAGTTGTGGATCTGCTGTGCACCGTCTTAGCATCCAGAATCAACGAAAACATATATTTCTTTGTACAGCGGGGTGTGACAAGGTGACCCCATCATGTCTTCATGGCATCATGGAGGCTTTCTCCGGTACAGTCCTGAATCGGACATGCAAATTGCCAGGGTTCACACACTGAATGAGGTGAACACCCAATCATGATGCCAGTGGCTGCCAGTCAACAGCAAAAATGGGCTGACCGTGGCTGACCTCAATAACAGACCATCCCCATTATCAGAAACAGCCCCTGGCGGTTTCAGTGAAAATGATTTGTCCCCACAAGAATCCCAAAGAAGAGGTTTGGGGATACTATTGATATTAAACATTTTGGGGGGATCTTCCAACATAGAGTCTCTTGAATTTCAGTTATATGGCAAGACAAGTCTTTCACAGTCCGTGATGAAAAGGTGGCAATCGCCCACATCTCACAGCCAGACTGAAATGGGTCACAGAATTTGGGTGCCAATATACGTACCAAGTTTGTCATCTGTAAAATTTGAAACCACATCTGAAACAGCAAATTTGGCTTCGTCTCAAGCAGGGTAACCCACGCTAAATCCTAAATCCACTACTTCATCATCATTTTCTCCACTCATCTCCACTCAATGGCCAGAAAGTGGTGGAAGATCGAGGACCCCAGCCTCAATGGTACGCACCATTGCCTTCACTTCTGTTTCGACTCGGCTGTCCTGGCCGAGTCACTGATTATCCATGACAGGGATGGATAAAAATTATGCATAAAAAATATGCCACAAAAATGCGTGGTGCTCAATTCGTCTTCAATTTTGACCCGTGCCCGAAGCAACGCCAACAACCACTGAGATCGATGGCCCCCTCAAGCCTCGTGGTCTTGCAACTCGGAGGTGTACATCACAACTTCTGACAGAGACATCACCACCTGACGAGACAGAGACATTTCCAATGGCAAATTTTGGGCGACATGGAGATGTTATGAGATGTTGGACTTTGAAGAAGCCATACGTAAAGTTCATACATCAATAAAAACATGCTTCGAAATGCTTGGAATAGAAACATGTTAAACCAATCTCATATAGTATGATCCAGCGAATGATCAGCATGATATAGAAGAATATCACATGGCATTTTCTGAAAAGAAGATACATTCAAATCCACTGTTTAATCATCATGTTCGCGATTCAAATGGCCATAGGTGCGGGTATACCATGGTATACCCCATTTTCAGACGCAGCCCATCAATGATATTTCATGGTATCATATGATATGATATCGTATCCATTTATATCCAATTACCCTCTGGTAAACTAACATAACTATTGAAAATGGCCCATTTACATGGTGATTTTCTATAGTTATGTTAGTTTACCAGAGGGTAACATACATAATCGATCATAATCCAATTAACATCCATAATCACGTCCACAAACGTCCTGTCGCTTGTTGCTTCTGCCGGCCTGAATCCCAAGGTCCGACCAAATGCGATGCGCACATCTCAAGGCCATGAGCACTACCTGGCGTTGAAAAAAACGAATTCTTAGGGGAAAGATGGATGATCCATGATTCATATGATTCATTTGGCTATGAATATGTTTGATATTGATTGATCATATCACTATAGAATAGATGGCTTAGATGGCTTAGATGGCTATGGATGATCAACCTGTGGAAAAATTGCCATGATTCACTGGTATTCCTAGTGATTGCTGATGAATGGTGATTGATCAATAACTTGTCATTAACTAGGGTAATCATTCTGTGTTGTCTCCTGTTTTTAAATATGGCAAGTTCATGCTTCCATTACGGGTCTTCCTCATCTTCCTTATTCCTGGACAATGCTAGTTGACTGCATCAAGACCTTTTTGATCCTTTTTTCTGGGGTTTAACATGACTATACTTGTAATTCTCACGAACCCAAGAACAGCTGAAAAGTGCGGACATTTGGAATGGTTCCCCTTACCATCATTCCAGTGACATCACATTGAGGTCATCATAAGTCATCCAGATGTATGAATCTCAAGCAAATAAAAAAAGTTGTGCATCATGATGCATCATGCATTGTGAGCAATTGGAATCACCGAAAGGAATGTGCAGAGCCTCAGCATCTTCGGATCTCGTCTTCTCCAGGACTGCCTTGCAAGTGGCAGTCCAAAGCTCCTTCTTCGTCAAGCCACTTGTGGTAGAGTACCCGATGAGAAAATGAATGATAGATGTAAACCATCGAAAATATTAGAAACCCCAGTTCTGATGACTAGGTTCTCATCCAGGTTGAAATCTCCGCGACCAGGTTCCATGCAGCTTGCTACACACCTGCATCATCCGTTTCACGCCGTCTTCTGCGGAAGACGCCGTCATGGCGACCAAAGCAGATTGCAACACCTTCGGCCCCAGATTTTTGGGGGGAAGACTCGGAAGACGCGACGGACTTTTTGATCAAATTGTCCTCAAAATCCTCCAAGCGTCACCTTTTTTGCATTGTTTTGCTGATATCTTTTGGACGGAACTGATTTTCGGACTTTTGGTTGGTATGTTTATCGCGGCTTTCTGGAAATCAGGCTGAGGACGAATCATCAATCAAGGTTTGGTTGGAGTTGATCCTCCCTTACCCAGTGATCCCGAAACTGAGCAGAATGCTTCTGAACAGCATCAGCATGTGCCCAGGTCATTCAATAACGAAATTACAACTGGAATCTGAGTGATAGCTGGCTACAAGACAGGACAGCAAGCCTTTGCAAATGGTCTTGCTCTTGCAATTTGGTATTGACAACCTTGCCATGTTGCTCCATCGCGAAAGATGTTATAACTTCGCAAACATCAAACCCTGAGCTGCCCAGCTCGCGCAGGCCGCTGCAAATGGCATCATCTACGGCTAGAAACTCGAAGACATCCAGTATCGAGACGCAGGGCTCCAGCAACTCCTGCGAAAAACTCGGCGCCGAAAGGCTACCGCCACCCAGGCTACCCGCAGCGGAGTTTCCGTTGAAACCAATGGGGGTTGGTTCTCCAAAGATATGAAGGAGTAATGAAATGAAGACCAGTCCAGTGAACAGAAACGAATCATGCTCATCATTTTCATCATGCTTTCTCATTTTTCTATCATCTGGAATCGTTGTTTCTATCCCATGTCGCCTCAAAAGACTCCGCCCAGACCTTTGCTTCTGGACCTGAGAACATCGACGAACGACGAAAAGGTCATTGTGGGAATTCGTCATTTCAGTGACCTTTTCGCCGATTTCCCGAAAGGTTTGCCCTGGTTTGATGATTGTTGATATCTGTTGATTGTTGATGCCACGGCTTTGTTGCTGCAACTTTGAAATGAGAGGATCTATTCTATTATATATATATACTTGTATATATTATGCACGGGGGTGATGAACATCCGTTTACCACTTTTTTCAGTGCTCACTAGGGTACCAGGGTTGTGACCCATACCCATATGGAGGTTTCCTAAAATATGAATTAGATGGAATTAGTCCATTTTAGCATTGAAACCCGTGGTGTGACTTGGGGATTCCCTATTTTAAGACCTGATCGACCGCCTTGTGCCAGCTTAGCGACGTTGTCTTGTCTCAAACTCCGTGGTCTTGAATGATGCAGGGTCGCTCCCTGTTTGGGGCCGAAACTGGGTAAAAAGAAAGGTCAAATGACCCATTTCCATCCATTTCCATCCATTTCCCCTCGTTTTGGCTACCCAAAATCATTTGGAGCAACCCTGTGAAGTGGTCTATGAAAATTGGCTGGTTCCATGGGTTCCCATGGGTTCCCCTGGGTTTGCATGGATCATTGGCGAGAAATTGCTGAGTCACCGATGAACCAAATTGGAAAGTGTGGAGGTTTCACCGGGCACCGCTTCCTTACACCTACACAGTTGGGACATGATTTAGAAATGAGGGACACCGCCATAATCAACCATCACTTTGTAGGTGTGAGTCACAATCTTTCAATATTTTTCATCATCATACAGACCTTGACACACCGTGTGTTTTCATCCATGCTATTGCATTCTGCCTCGACATACGGAGGTGTCCTAAAATGGGGGTACCCCAAGTCACCATGGATCTCAATACTAAAATGAATCTTAAAAAGAACAAATGGCCTATTTTGGAATAATTGGGGTACCTATTTTAGGAAAGCTCCATATGTTCGTGCAACACGCTGCCCATCAAGTGATAAGATATTCGGAACCCATTCTTTGTTTGGCGTCCCCGGCACCTTCCGCTGCACTCCCTCTGTCGCGGTGATTTCATTCCATTTCTGCACGTGTATCTGCACGTTTTCCGTGTTCCCCGGCCCTGACCGGTCGAAGTTAACGAATTTTGCTGCGAACACTGCTCTGCTCGTTCTCATCATATTATATCATAATTCTCATTATATTCAATTTGTGGTGTTGGTCTCATCATGTTTTCTCATCATCGACGTTTGAACCGACAGGGTGGTCAAAGTTCGCTTTAAAAAACAGCACCAGCCCCTGCACATGAATGTACATATTATTGGACACCAAAAACGAAAATAATGGCCACCAGGTTATCACCTACTGCCGTTGCCGAAAACCGCAATGCAAATCCATGATTCATATGATTCATATGATATTAATATATATATATATATATTAATATATATTATCTATATCTATCTATCTATCTATCTATCTATCTATCTATCTATCTATCTATCTATCTATCTATCTATCTATCTATCTATCTCTTCCACCCGTCCAATTTCCACCCGTCCAGTTTGATTTGTTGTGATCTCTCATTGAATGCCCATCGACCATCGAACCTAATTCATCAATCCAAATCATCCAATTTCATCCACCTTCCATTTCAAACACACAAAGCCGACATGCATCAAGGTAATGGAACAATTCTATGAATCTAAAGTCTAAAACCAAACATCGGCCCGACCGAATACATCTACTCACACAATGCCCTATACCTGTTTGTTTGAAGGTGATGGGGAGCCAAAGAATCTCATACATCACTCTGGTCAACTTTCATGAGAAACTACCACGCTGTCTCGTCAATCAGCTGCACTCCTGAAAATTTGGCTCTGGAATCACCAAACTTTTACGCTGTGATGTTAATTTATTGTTTCGACTCGACATGTTGATCCCACTTAGACCCCGCTGTGAGGACACATTCCAACAGGCAAAAATGCTCCCCATCTTTTTGATCTGTCTGTCCAATAGCGACCAGATATCCCAAGATGCACTGATATGTGCAGAAACCTCTGCGTGACTTGCGTGCATCAGCTCATGTTTGAACCATTTTGAACCCACACCGTTTGGTCTGACATGGTCTGACAAAATGCTGAGCCGTTCTCACTTTTCTGAAGGTCGTTGCGACCGAAATCATGGCAATAGTCATGGGCAAGGCATTTTCATACTTTTCAGGACCGCTCAGACACTACATTTTTGTCGGGAAACAGGGGAGCATCGTGGCCGATTTTGGCTGCACCTTTTCCCAAGCTAAAAGACATTCCGGCACAACGGTAAGGATTAAATGTACGGGTGGCTGAGCATGCTATGAGCCGCATCTTTGTCGCAATCGGATTGACATCATGCACGTATTGCTCGGCAAAAGGAGTTGCAACGGTACAGTCGCCAAAAGCAAAACACACTTGTTGCTGATTGGGCCGCAAAGAGCAGCTAGGTGACCCAGCTCTAACATTGGCTCTCCCATTCTTTTCTGACATTCGCATGCTTCAAAATGATCCTACTCTAGGTCCTGAAATCGATGCAAAACAAAAAAAAAAAAGATGGTTTGACTGGCATGCCCTTGCTGATGTTTCTCACCTCATGAGGTTCTGGAATCGTTCTCATCGCATTGGTTTCTGGAATCGTTCTCATCGCATTGGGGTTAGGAATTAGGAATCGTTCTCATGACATTCATCGTTCTCAAGCGCATTGGTGTACGGGATCGTTCTCACCACATTGGCTGTTGGAATCGTACTCAGCATGTCAGTCGGTTTGTGTGAAACAACTGCTGCGAACTTTTTTTCCGCGAAAATCTGAAGGGTTGGGAAAAAAATGCGAATGGGGAAGGTAGCGACTTAAAGCATACCTTTCAGTGTTTCGCAACGTTCTCTCTGAAACCCTACCCTTCAAATTTTTGAGAAAAAAAAATGCGCGACACAGAACCTGGACGTAGTGGGGTTCCACACAGGGTAGGGAAAGGGATGTGCAGATAGACACGCATGCTGAGAATGACGGGAAGATGTCCAAAAACTAACGCACTGGTCTCAGAATCGTTCTCATGCCAAGAATCGGTTCTCACCGCAGGTTTTCGATTGAAGGTCAACGCAAGAACCTGAGGTATTTCGGAAAAAATAAGAAAACCTCGGTTTTCGATTGAAGACCTCGGGTATTAATTTAGAACCCGTACTTAATCCGTACCTAACCCATAAACCTAATCCGTACTTAACCCGTACTAACCCGTACCTAACCCGTACCTAACCCGTACTTTCAGTTTGGTTAAAATACCCCGGGTTTTGTCAGAAAAGCTCAGGTATTTTTCAAACCCTAAGATTTCTGCGGGTTTTGGTTCTCAAGGTAGTGGTAGGAATTCCCTTGAATGTGATCTCAACTTACGCCCTTTTGGAAACTGGTTGGAAGACAGTCCTTGGCAATGCTGAGGAGAGTGGATTGTTTTTGAAGAAATTGAAACTTCCTTTGAAGATTTCTGAGAGAGCATGGTGGCTGAAAGTCAGTTTGCTTTCAAAGCACAAGAGTGGTGTGAAGGGTTCTGGACCAGCACCGATGGACTTGAGCACCGTGAACACTGTGAACACTGTGAAAAGGAGTTGCAACGGTACAGTCGCCAAAAGCAAAACACACTTGTTGCTGATTGGGCCGCAAAGAGCAGCTAGGTGACCCAGATACAACAGCCCATGAGCGGCCTGCTTTACTTCAACTTCTCACCGCTAGGTTGGAATTTCATGAATTTCGGAGATTCATGTCTCGGTTTCATCGCGAAATGAAGACAAACATGACAAGACATTTGCTGAAAGCCGCACAGCTTGCGGATGCTCTGAACGGCCGCCGCGTCATCATCTTCGAGGGATGTTTTGTGAGTCAAGAACAAAAGCCTAACGTGCGCTCCATAAACTTTGAAGAGGCAGGCAGCTGCTCCACTGTGCTCGGGGCCTAAAGGATCCTACAAGCAAACGCCTGACTGATGAATGTAAACACGGTTGTCCTTTAACAACGGGCACACGTTGCACTTTGGACCCCCTTCGCACTTGCTCAGCCAAGCTGATCTGTCTATGGGTTTGACTTGCCACCACTTCGCACCTCTTCGGATATGTCTTGCAGGACGGGCTCGACTGGCTCACAGTCCTCCGCTGATGCAGTGAACGGTGTACCCCAAGGCGACTTTCTCGACGACACGTACAAAGTCATCTTCTCAAATACGGCGGGTGCATGTGGCAAATGCACTCCCCGAAGTCTACATCAAAATGCTCAACAGGCCCTTCTATCCATCAGAAACCAGCTATCTAGAGACTGTGGGTTGACATTTCTTTCCTCCATCTAGGCACGCGACAACTGTTTTTTCCATCTTTTTCCCATTGGCTGTTGTGTGGGTTTGGGACTGTGGTGACAGTGTGTTGTCCTGTAACTTTGAAGCTGGAGGCAAGTCGTACTTGAAGTCACTTCTGAATTTTTCTGGGTTAAAAAACACGGTGGCAGGATATAAATTTGTGGCCAAACATTCAAGCAAAACGCGCATTATTATGGGGTCAAATGCGGGGCCACAAGTTGGCAACTTCCAAATCTTCCAAAAGGAATTCCGAGCTCCTTTTTCCCCACTCCCCTACCCAGGTTCCACATGGGTCTTCTGAACCTCTCCAACAGCAAGAACTTGTCCGTCGTTTCGAAATTTCTCAATGAATTAAACTTTGGGCCTAGCACGTGGGCAAACCGCTGGGTTAAAACCTGAGGGACGGGCTACCGGAAGGTGCATGAGGCTATTCTTGAAAGCCACCTGTCGGTCTGTCCACCAAGTTTCGCCACTTCTTTTTGGCCAGCCGGCTCAGCCTGGCAATGCGGAGCACAACATGAAGGCAGGCACACCCTGCCTCAGCTGGAATTGAGGGCCTGCATGCAACACACAAGGACAACTGTCGCGGTTGGAAGACAAATCTTGGTTCTGCAGTGCTACGGCCAGTTCGAATTAAGATTTTCTGATGTTTGTCATGGACTGCGGCGTCCTTCACAGACTCTTCCAAAAAGGCGCATTGACACTACCTTGAATTTACGACTTGCAGGCGGTACCAGAGAAGGTATCAAATGATACACCTGGCTCAACTAACCAACAACAACTGCCTCCACCCCTTGCCCACCAACACCATTCGCCACTTCTGCCAACGTGTGGTCTAATAAGGAAAGAAATGCCATGCAGGATTGCGAGTTCAAGGCTGTAAATCAGGAGAAAAGTGACATAATGCAAACAAAGTGCTAGAATAGGAGAGCATGCTGTGTTTTGATGTCCAGAAGCCAGATGACGATAATTTAGGTTGCTTTGATACAGAGCGTGCAACGGCACCTTCACAGACTCTTCCAAAAAGGCGCATTGACACTACCTTGAATTTACGACTTGCAGGCGGTACCAGAGAAGGTATCAAATGATACACCTGGCTCAACTAACCAACAACAACTGCCTCCACCCCTTGCCCACCAACACCATTCGCCACTTCTGCCAACGTGTGGTCTAATAAGGAAAGAAATGCCATGCAGGATTGCGAGTTCAAGGCTGTAAATCAGGAGAAAAGTGCACACCTTACGGTTCATATCTCGCCCTTAACCTACCTTACCCAGGATTTCCTTGGAAATATCGGCGGAAAGCATGCTGCCTCACTAATATGAAATTTCTCTTGTCAAGGGGCCCATGGCAACAGATCAATTTACAATCCTCCCACACCACGCTCGAATGCATGACAAGTCACACATCCACTGGTGAGGACGTTGCACGAGCGTTCTCTTACCAAATCCAGGCATAACTTGTGGGGCCGACCTGGTTCTTATACCTGCGACCTCCAACAGGCAGAGATTTGGGGGTGAATGGGCAGAATGATAACTTTTTCTGGCGAGCTGAAAAATACGAGTAGCTTGGCTGCCGATTCGGGCAAGAAATTTCAGAAATGCCACGAAGGCAAGAATCGCAATTTGGCAAAGCAGGTCTAAGACATCTTCCCTGAGTAATTAACGCTTGAGATTTCTCTTGCATGTGACGTGCGTTCATTCCATTTTTTAATTCTGCGTCAAAACACGTCAGGCGAGAATACCCGGGGAACGGGCGAGAATTAGAATTCAACAGGAAAGGTTTGCGCACTTGGCATTCCTGCAATGCTTTCTATTGTTTGATCCACATTGATCATGTCAAGTGGCATATCTGTGGTGCAGTCGAGCATGTGCCATGGCCATTCTCTTAGAGCAACCGGGCGATGTTCTGGGAGTTTCTGAGATACGCCCTGAGATTACACCTTCTTTTCTCTTTATTTGGCGATAAATCCAACACATCAATGGATATGTCGGGCTCAGGGCGTATTCCGCCACTTCCAAATTTCCTTGTGCACTTGTTGAGCTATAACCTGGTAGCAGCCGCTGGCACAGAACGGTGGCTCACGTGAGAGAAGCAGGAAAGCGGGGCCGGCATGATATGGCCCAGCAATTTGGCTCCCAAAATACAGTCATCATACCCATTAGTTCGATCGAATTCGAGCATGGTCGAGCGACTTGGTGAGAAATAATGCTAAATGGCACCAATTAGGGAGATTGTAGGGTGTACTGCGATGGGGTATTTGAAAAATCCCTGCAGAGAGTTGTGGATGTCGTAGTCCTTGTTCATCAGGAAAAGAATCCAAAATGCCAAGCTCACACAACGTCTGCTCCAGTCTGTGAAGGAGTCGAGCCCATAGAAATGAGAACACAATGTCCGCAAAACAGTCTCCTGGCCTGGTGCCTAGGGAAGTTCTGCACGCGTCTTGCTGAATGCCCACAAAGAAGTGTGTATCCGTATGCAGAGCGCGGAGAACTTTCTGGAGTTGAGGAGAAATCCCGGCACGATCCACCGCTGATGCCTCTTCTAAGTGGGCATGGAGGGCAAGAGATGTATCCTTCCACCTCCGGCGCATTGCTTCGTACAAACAAATCTGTGCATCATGGACTCACTTCGCAAAAAAGAGTGGCGCGATGTGGCGCGCAAAGCAGATGGTTTCCACCGATTCTCGAGTTGGTCAAATGCATGATCTGCCGGCCGGAGTGCTAAGTCAAACCCTATACATTGCGAGCCACTGCCGTCAAACTCACTGAAGGCAACACATCGGTCGCATCTTCATTTGAATGGCTTTCTGGTTAAGAGTCGAAATTGATAGGCGAGAGCTGCAGTTTGCGTTCAATTATTCGGACGCCAACTCCAGCGTTGTGTGTGTTGGTATCGAGAATATGCCTTGGCTGCTGGCGCACGAGCCATGTGATCAATCCAATGATTTCCCAATTAATCATTACATCATCATATGAGTGGACGACTCAATTTTTCCCATGGTACCGTACTATTATAGGTATGAATCGACAACCCTCTCCTTGCTGCTTCAAATTTTGAACCCAAGCTGCAACACTTTAAAAATCAATGTCTCCATGGCTGTCTCAACATTTCCCAACACCACACATGGGCCTTTCACACTGAGGCTGGCACTTGTGTAGTTCAAATCCTTTGTGGCGTGTGATGGAGGCGCAACCTGTCAAACCAAACGCCCGCACTTCATCAATGGGATTCTGATTTCAGGCATCAAGCAAAATCCGTCAAATCCCAGAGAAAAAAGACATGTGGCTGTCAGTGGCACACACGACGAGGGCAACAGCCCCTAATGGAAACTTGAAGGGCAATGCCCGACGATTGGGCAAGCGTCATGAGAACCCCAAGCTTTGGTTTCACCACCTGAAGCGACCCAACCTCAAATTGTCAGTTACGAGTACCCTGCTGAAAGAAAAATGAACCCATCGCACACTTAAATCACAGCATGACTTTCATCTGAAACCACATCTAAAACAACAACTTTGGTTTGGTCAAAAATGGGGTAAACCATGCTATAATCCACTGCATCCACGGCTTCATCATCACATTCTCCACTCAATGGTGAGAACGGGGCGGAAAATCCTTCGGTTTCAGCCATCCCCGAGAGAGACCCAGCCTCAATGTTGCGCACCATTGCCTTCACCTCTGCTTTCACCCGGCTGTCCTGACCATGGCGCCAGTTCCATCTACTTTGGCTGCGCTCAAGGTATGTTCACCGTTGTTCACCCATGAGTTTTGGGCACAGGAAGGCCCCTGTTGAAACTTTAAACTCAAACTGTAGCACTCCGAACCAAATTGGAAAGTGGGGAGGTTTTTGGAATGGGGAAAGCCGCCATCCACCATCATTAAAAAAAATACTTTACTTCGAGTCATCCCTACCATGACATTTATACATTTTTTAACGGCAAATCTTCTGGCATTCTATCTGACATATCTTCTGGCATTCGATCTGGCATTCTATCTGGCATATCTTCTGGCATTCTACCTGGCATATCTTCTGGCATATGTTCTGGCATATCTTCTGGCATTCTATCTGGCATTCTATCTGGCATATCTTCTGGCATATCTTCTGACATTCTATCTGGCATTCTATCTGGCAAACATTTTGGCACTTTATCTGGCATACCTTCTGGCATTCTACAGTACCTGGCATATCTTCAGGCATTTTATCTGGCATACCTTCTGGCATTCTATCTGGCATATCTTCTGGCATTCTACCTGGCATGTCTTCTGGCAAATGTTCTGGCATATCTTCTGGCACTCTATCTGGCATATCTTCTGCAATATGTTCTGGCATATCTTCTGGCGCTTTATCTGGCATATCTTCTGGCACATCTTCTGACAATCTATCTGGCATTCTATCTGGCATACCTTCTGGCATTCTATCTGGCATATCTTCTAACATTCTATCTGGCATATCTTCTGGCTTTCTATCTGGCCGTTGAGGTCCAGCGGTGCCCACTGAGCTCGGAAGGTCCCAGGTTGAGGTCCAGTGGTGCCCACTGAGCTCTGAAGGTCCCAGGTTGAGGTCCAGCGGTGCCCACTGGGCTCGGAAGGTCCCTGGTTGAGGTCCAGCGGTGCCCACTGCGCTCGGAACCTTCGGTTGAGGTCCAGCCGTGCCCACTCAGATCGGCAGCCGCAAAGAGATTGGCGAAGAGTTGGCAAGGCGGAAGTGGACATGGAAGTGGATGCACAGGTGGTGGAGGAGAAGGAGGAGGATGAGGAGGAGGAGGCGGAGGAGGAGGAGGAGGCGGAAGAACAGCTCTGATAAAATCTAATTACTTTACTTCGTGTGATCCCCACCATGACATTTATACATTTTGATACTGGCAAATCTTCTGGCATTCTATCTGACATATCTTCTGGCATTCGATCTGGCATACCTTCTGGCATTCTACCTGGCATATCTTCTGCAATATGTTCTGGCATATCTTCTGGCGCTTTATCTGGCATATCTTCTGGCACATCTTCTGACAATCTATCTGGCATTCTATCTGGCATACCTTCTGGCATTCTATCTGGCATATCTTCTAACATTCTATCTGGCATATCTTCGGGCATATCATCTGGCAAATCTTATGGCATTCTATCTGGCATATCTTCTCGCATTCCTTCTGACATTCTATCTGGCATATCTTCTGGCATTCTATCTGGCTCTTGAGGTTCAGCGGTGCGCACTGAGCTCGGAAGGTCCCAGGTTGAGGTCCAGCGGTGCCCACTGGGCTCGGAAGGTCCCAGGTTGAGGTCCAGCGGTGCGCACTGAGCTAGGAAGGTCCCAGGTTGAGGTCCAGCGGTGCGCACTGAGCTGGGAAGGTCCCAGGTTGAGGTCCAGCAGTGCGCACTGAGCTCCGAAGTTGGCGAAGAGCTTGGCCAAGAGTTGGCAAGGCAACAGTGGACGTGGAAGTGGAGGCAGAGGTGGTAGAAGAGGAGGAGGACGCGGAGGAGGAGAAGGAGGAGGAAGGAGGAGGAAGGAGGAGAAGAACAACTCTGATAAAATCTAACAACCCTCACCTGGCAGGTGGGGAACAACCCTCACCTGGCAGGTGGGGAAATAGTAGTTGTCAACTATCAAAATTTCAAAATCTGAAGCCACATTTAAACAGCAAATTTGGTTTCGTCTCAAGCAGGGTAGCCCACGCTAAATCCGAAATCCACTGCTTCATCATCATTTTCTCCACTCATCTCCACTCAATGGCCAGAAAGTGGTGGAAAATCGAGGACCCCAGCCTCAATGGTACGCACCATTGCCTTCACTTCTGTTTCCACTCGGCTGTCCTGACCCGGTGAATGATTATCCATGACCTAGGATGAAAATTGGGCATCAAAAATGCTAAAGACAGACTGGGTGATTGAAATCGAAACGATTTGCGTGGTTCTCGATTCGTCTTCAATTTTTGCCCGTGCCCAAAGCACCCAAAATCTATGGGACCAAATGGCCAGCACAAGAAGCACCATACACGATCATTCCCACCTATGCTGGATCCGGGTAATTCTCGGAAGATATGGCAGAACCTCCAAATCGTAGCCTTTTGATCATTGGGTTGGATATCCCCCAAATGGCAATTCACCATTGTGAAAGGAAAAATGATTATAAATCATACGATTCTGAAGTGATTACCCTACGTATCCCCCATCGAATGTTCAAGTAGCATCCATGTTACAAGTATTGGGCACGACATGGCACGACTGGCCATATATTTAAGAACAGAGTGATAGGATATTTGGAACCCATTCTTTGCATTGTGTCCACCCCGGCACCTTCCGAATTTCCACTCCGCTCGGGCGTGCGGAATCAATCTGACAGCGATCCTGATCCCATCTTCCTGCTTTCATTCCATTTCTGCATGTGTTTTTTGTGTATGGGTCAAAGTTAAGGGATTTTGCTGCGAACACCACTCTGCTCAATCTCATCGGAATTCAATGTGGTGTTGGTCTCATCATATTTTCTCATTGACGTTTGAGCCGAAAGGGCGGTGGTCAAAGTTCGTTTTAAAAAACACATCTGAAACATTTGAATTTGAAACTTCATTAAGCTCAGGTGCCCGTATCTGTTAAGGCAGGATTGACTGAGGGTGAACATATCTGACAAAAAGTTGCCGAAATACTGATCCCAAAAGCGCACATTGCAACAAGCGTCTCAGGATCTTCGGGTAAGGCGCATGACAAATCGCAAATCGCATCAAATCGCATCAAATCACGCATATTTTGCCTAAAACGCAAGCAAAAACCTACGTCATGCGCGACTTTCTGACCACGCTGTGAAACTTAGAATCAAGTTGTGGATTGCGGCACAGTTCGAGATCCCCGTTGACTCGCATCAGGAACTATTGGGCTAACCAACCCTGTATATCCCTTTATTCTGTCAGAAAAAGTGCCATGTACGACTTCGGAGTCAAGTTGTGGATCTGCTGTGCACCGTCTTAGCATCCAGAATCAACGAAAACATATATTTCTTTGTACAGCGGGGTGTGACAAGGTGACCCCATCATGTCTTCATGGCATCATGGAGGCTTTCTCCGGTACAGTCCTGAATCGGACATGCTTTTGCCAGGGTTCACACACTGAATGAGGTGAACACCCAATAATGGTGCCCGTCAACAGCAAAAATGGGCTGACCATGGCCTCAATAACAGGTTGGAGATCTGTCCCCTGTAGGGCGGTTTCAGTGAAAATGATTTGCCCCCACAAGAATCCCAAAGAATAGGTTTGGGGATACTATTGATATAAAACATTTTGGGGGGATCTTCCAACATAGAGTCTCTTGAATTTCAGTTACATGGCAAGACAAGTCTTTCACAGTCCGTGATGAAAAGGTGGCAATCGCCCACATCTCACAGCCAGACTGAAATGGGTCACAGAATTTGGGTGCCAATACACGTACCAAGTTTGTCATCTGTAAAACCTGAAACCACATCTGAAACAGCAAATTTGGCTTCGTCTCAAGCAGGGTAACCCACGCTAAATCCTAAATCCACTACTTCATCATCATTTTCTCCACTCATCTCCACTCAATGGCCAGGAAGTGGTGGAAGATCGAGGGCCCCAGCCTCAATGGTACGCACCATTGCCTTCACTTCTGTTTCGACTCGGCTGTCCTGGCCGAGTCACTGATTATCCATGACAGGGATGGATAAAAATTATGCATAAAAAATATGCCAAAAAATGCGTGGTGCTCAATTCGTCTTCAATTTTGACCCGTGCCCGAAGCAACGCCAACAACCACTGAGATCGATGGCCCCCTCAAGCCTCGTGGTCTTGCAACTCGGAGGTGTACATCACAACTTCTGACAGAGACATCACCACCTGACGAGACAGAGACATTTCCAATGGCAAATTTTGGGCGACATGGAGATGTTATGAGATGTTGGACTTTGAAGAAGCCATACGTAAAGTTCATACATGAATAAAAACATGCTTCGAAATGCTTGGAATAGAAACATGTTAAACCAATCTCATATGGTATGATCCAGCGAATGATCAGCATGATATAGAAGAATATCACATGGCATTTTCTGAAAAGAAGATACATTCAAATCCACTGTTTAATCATCATGTTCGCTATTCAAATGGCCATAAGTGCGGGTGTACCATGGAATACCCCATGTTCAGATGCAGCCCATCAATGATATTTCATGATATCATATGATATCATATGATATCATATCCATTTATATCCAATTACCCTCTGGTAAACTAACATAACTATTGAAAATAGCCCATTTATAGTTGATTTACCTATTAACAATGGTGATTTTCCATAGTTTTATGTATGTTTACCAGAGGGTAACATAAATAATCGATCATAATCCAATTAACATCCATAATCACGTCCACAAACATCCAGCGTCGCTTGTTGCACCGGCCTGAATCCCAAGGTCCGACCAAATGCGATGCGCACATCTCAAGGCCATGAGCACTACCTGGCGTTGAAAAATTACGCGAAAATAGGGGAAAGATGGATGATCAATGATTCATATGGCTATGAATACTATGAATATGATTGATCATATCACTATTGAATAGATGGCTTAGATGGCTTAGATGGCTTAGATGGCTTAGATGGCTTAGATGGCTTAGATGGCTTAGATGGCTTAGATGGCTATGGATGATCAATCAGTGGAAAAATGGCTATGATTCATAGATATGCCTAGTGATTGCTGATGAATGGTGATTGATCAATAACTTGTCATTAACTAGGGTAATCATTCTGTGTTGTCTCCTGCTTTTAAATATGGCAAGTTCATGCTTCCATTACGGGTCTTCCTCATCTTCCTTATTCCTGGACAATGCTAGTTGGCTGCATCAAGACCTTTTTGATCCTTTTTTCTGGGGTTTAACATGACTATACTTAGTACTTCTCACGAACCCAAGAACAGCTGAAAAGTGCGGCCATTTGGAATGGTTCCCCTTACCATCATTCCAGTGACATCACATTGAGGTCATAAGTCATCCAGATGTATGAATCTCAAGCAAATAAAAAAAAAAAAAGTTGTGCATCATGCATTGCGAGCAATTGGAATCACCGAAAGGAATGTGCAGAGCCTCAGCATCTTCGGATCTCGTCTTCTCCAGGACTGCCTTGCAAGTGGCAGTCCAAAGCTCCTTCTTCGTCAAGCCACTTGTGGTAAAGTACCCGATGAGAAAATGAATGGTTCAAGGGCCCATCAAACAAAATGCATACAGATTATGAATGATTATGATAGATGTAAACCATTCGAACATATTAGAAACCCCAGTTCTGATGAGTAGGTTCTCATCCAGGTTGCAATCTCCGCGACCAGGTTCCATGCAGCTTGCTACACACCTGCATCATCCGTTTCACGCCGTCTTCTGCGGAAGACGCCGTCATGGCGACCAAAGCAGATTGCAACACCTTGGGCCCCAGATTTTTGGGGGGAAGACTCGGAAGGCGCGACGGACTTTTTGATCCGATTGTCCTCAAAATCCTCCAAGCGTCACCTTTTTCGCATTGTTTTGCTGATATCTTTTGGACGGAACTGATTTTCGGACTTTTGGTTGGTATGTTTATCGTGGCTTTCTGGAAATCAGGCTGAGGACGAATCATCAATCAAGGTTTGGTTGGAGTTGATCCTCCCTTACCCAGTGATCCCGAAACTGAGCAGAATGCTTCTGAACAGCATCAGCATGTGCCCAGGTCATTCAATAACGAAATTACAACTGGAATCTGAGTGATAGCTGGCTACAAGACAGGACAGCAAGCCTTTGCAAATGGTCTTGCTCTTGCAATTTGGTATTTGACAACCTTGCCATGTTGCTCCATCGCGAAAGATGGTATAACTTCGCAAACATCAAACCCTGAGCTGCCCAGCTCGCGCAGGCCGCTGCAAATGGCATCATCTACGGCTAGAAACTCGAAGACATCCAGTATCGAGACGCAGGGCTCCAGCAACTCCTGCGAAAAACTCGGCGCCGAAAGGCTACCGCCACCCAGGCTACCCGCAGCGGAGTTTCCGTTGAAACCAATGGGGGTTGGAGTAATGAAATGAAGACCAGTCCAGTGAACAGAAACGAATCATGTTCATCATTTTCATCATGCTTTCTCATTTTTCTATCATCTGGAATCGTTGTTTCTATCCCATGTCGCCTCAAAAGACTCCGCCCAGACCTTTGCTTCTGGACATGAGAACATCGACGAACGACGAAAAGGTCATCGTGGGAATTCGTCATTTCAGTGACCTTTTCGCCGATTTCCCGAAAGGTTTGCCCTGGTTTGATGATTGTTGATATCTATTGATTGTTGATGCCACGGCTTTGTTGCTGCAACTTTGAAATGAGAGGATCTATTCTATTATAAATATATATATATAGCTTGTATATACATATATATATATACTTGTATATATTATGCACGGGGGTGATGAACATCCGTTTACCACTTTTTTCAGTGTTCAATAGGGTACCAGGGTTGTGACCCATACCCATATGGAGGTTTCCTAAAATAGGAATTAGATGGAATTAGTCCATTTTAGTATTGAAACCCGTGGTGTGACTTGGGGATTCCCTATTTTAAGACCTGATCGACCGCCTTGTGCCAGCTTAGCGACGTTGTCTTGTCTCAAACTCCGTGGTCTTGAATGATGAAGCAGGGTCGCTCCCTGTTTGGGGCCGAAACTGGGTAAAAAGAAAGGTCAAATGACCCATTTCCATCCATTTCCCCTCGTTTTGGCTACCCAAAATCATTTGGAGCAACCCTGTGAAGTGGTCTATGAAAATTGGCTGGTTCCATTGGTTCCCATGGGTTCCCCTGGGTTTGCATGGATCATTGGCGAGAAATTGCTGATTCACCGATGAACCAAATTGGAAAGTGTGGAGGTTTCACCGGGCACCGCTTCCTTACACCTACACAGTTGGGACATGATTTAGAAATGAGGGACACCGCCATAATCAACCATCACTTTGTAGGTGTGAGTCACAATCTTTCAATATTTTTCATCATCATACAGACCTTGACACACCGTGTGTTTTCATCCATGCTATTGCATTCTGCCTCGACATACGGAGGTGTCCTAAAATGGGGGTACCCCAAGTCACCATGGATCTCAATACTAAAATGAATCTTAAAAAGAACAAATGGCCTATTTTGGAATAATTGGGGTACCTATTTTAGGAAAGCTCCATATGTTCGTGCAACACGCTGCCCATCAAGTGATAAGATATTCGGAACCCATTCTTTGTTTGGCGTCCCCGGCACCTTCCGCTGCACTCCCTCTGTCGCGGTGATTTCATTCCATTTCTGCACGTGTATCTGCACGTTTTCCGTGTTCCCCGGCCCTGACCGGTCGAAGTTAACGAATTTTGCTGCGAACACTGCTCTGCTCGTTCTCATCATATTATATCATAGTTCTCATTATATTCAATTTGTGGTGTTGGTCTCATCATGTTTTCTCATCATCGACGTTTGAACCGACAGGGTGGTCAAAGTTCGCTTTAAAAAAACAGCACCAGCCCCTGCACATGAATGTACGTATTATTGGGCACCAAAAACGAAAATAATGGCCACCAGGTTATCACCTACTGCCGTTGCCGAAAACCGCAATGCAAATCCATGATTCATATGATTCATATGATATATATATATATTAATATATATATTAATATATATTAATATATATTAATATCTATCTATCTATCTATCTATCTATCTATCTCTTCCACCCGTCCAATTTCCACCCGTCCAGTTTGATTTGTTGTGATCTCTCATTGAATGCCCATCGACCATCGAACCTAATTCATCAATCCAAATCATCCAATTTCATCCACCTTCCATTTCAAACACACAAAGCCGACATGCATCAAGGTAATGGAACAATTCTATGAATCTAAAGTCTAAAACCAAACATCGGCCCGACCGAATACATCTACTCACACAATGCCCTATACCTGTTTGTTTGAAGGTGATGGGGAGCCAAAGAATCTCATACATCACTCTGGTCAACTTTCATGAGAAACTACCACGCTGTCTCGTCAATCAGCTGCACTCCTGAAAATTTGGCTCTGGAATCACCAAACTTTTACGCTGTGATGTTAATTTATTGTTTCGACTCGACATGTTGATCCCACTTAGACCCCGCTGTGAGGACACATTCCAACAGGCAAAAATGCTCCCCATCTTTTTGAACTGTCCAATAGCGACCAGATATCCCAAGATGCACTGATATGTGCAGAAACCTCTGCGTGACTTGCGTGCATCAGCTCATGTTTGAACCATTTTGAACCCACACCGTTTGGTCTGACATGGTCTGACAAAATGCTGAGCCGTTCTCACTTTTCTGAAGGTCGTTGCGACCGAAATCATGGCAATAGTCATGGGCAAGGCATTTTCAAACTTTTCAGGACCGCTCAGACACTACATTTTTGTCGGGAAAACAGGGGAGCATCGTGGCCGATTTTGGCTGCACCTTTTCCCAAGCTAAAAGACATTCCGGCACAACGGTAAGGATTAAATGTACGGGTGGCTGAGCATGCTATGAGCCGCATCTTTGTCGCAATCGGATTGACATCATGCACGTATATTGCTCGGCAAAAGGAGTTGCAACGGTACAGTCGCCAAAAGCAAAACACACTTGTTGCTGATTGGGCCGCAAAGAGCAGCTAGGTGACCCAGATACAACAGCCCATGAGCGGCCTGCTTTACTTCAACTTCTCACCGCTAGGTTGGAATTTCATGAATTTCGGAGATTTCATGTCTCGGTTTCATCGCGAAATGAAGACAAAATGACAAGACACATTTGCTGAAAGCCGCACAGCTTGCGGATGCTCTGAACGGCCGCCGCGTCATCATCTTCGAGGGATGTTTTGTGAGTCAAGAACAAAAGCCTAACGTGCGCTCCATAAACTTTGAAGAGGCAGGCAGCTGCTCCACTGTGCTCGGGGCCTAAAGGATCCTACAAGCAAACGCCTGTGCTCCATTGGCTCTCCCATTCTTTTCTGACATTTGCATGCTTCAAAATGATCCTACTCTAGGTCCTGAAATCGATGCAAAACAAGAAAAAAGATGGTTTGACTGGCATGCCCTTGCTGATGTTTCTCACCTCATGAGGTTCTGGCATCGTTCTCATCGCATTGGTTTCTGGAATCGTTCTCATCGCATTGGGGTTAGGAATTAGGAATCGTTCTCATGACATTCATCGTTCTCAAGCGCATTGGTGTACGGGATCGTTCTCACCACATTGGCTGTTGGAATCGTACTCAGCATGTCAGTCGGTTTGTGTGAAACAACTGCTGCGAACTTTTTTTCCGCGAAAATCTGAAGGGTTGGGAAAAAAATGCGAATGGGGAAGGTAGCGACTTAAAGCATACCTTTCAGTGTTTCGCAACGTTCTCTCTGAAACCCTACCCTTCAAATTTTTGAGAAAAAAAACGCGCGACACAGAACCTGGACGTAGTGGGCCGGTAGGGTTCCACACAGGGTAGGGAAAGGTAGGCTGGATGTGCAGATAGACACGCATGCTGAGAATGACGGGAAGATGTAAAGGGAACTTGGAGAATTTTGCCCACCAAGTTTCGCCACTTCTTTTTGGCCAGCCGGCTCAGCCTGGCAATGCGGAGCACAACATGAAGGCAGGCACACCCTGCCTTAGCTGGAATTGAGGGCCTGCATGCAACACACAAGGACAAGGATACCGGTACCGGTGCTTTCAGACTGGGCGGAACTGCGTGAAGTTGCTGCCCGGCCTCTGTCCCAAAGAAAATGAATTAACTAGTCATGGAAAAATTCGATCCTGGAGCTTGGCTTATCAAAAATGCTCCGGTCGCAGTGTTGAGGACCCTGGGTGGCTGGCGCAGGCCATTGGGAGAAAGGCTTTTCCGCGTCGGTTCCGTGGCGTCCTAATCGCTCCCGAATTTGCAGTCCCGAGCTTCACTCACAGCTGCGTCGTCAGGAAATGCAATCTACACAAAGCCTATAAAGGGAAAAGACGCAGGGTGAAGCATTCCCTAACCATCCTTGCAGCAAGTCCACGTCACTCGCCTTTCACTCAGGCTGTCTCCTGCATGGGGAAGGGATACTGCAGAACCTGCACTAACGGGGTTTCTTGTGTTGGCCACAGTAGAGATTTTTGTACAGGACTCGTGGTACGTCCATTGCCGTTTTTCACGTTTCAAAGCTTCCAGAACCGAGCCTCTGAGCTATATCGGCCGCACTCCGGAAAAAAAAGCATACCCAGTGGTGATCGTACCCCTACCCCTAGGGGCCCATGGCAACAGATCAATTTACAATCCTCCTACACCATCCACTGGTGAGGAAGTTGCACGAGCGTTCTCTTACCAAATCCAGGCATAACTTGTGGGGCCGACCTGGTTCTTATACCTGCGACCTCCAACAGGCAGAGATTTGGGGGTGAATGGGCAGAATGATAACTTTTTCTGGCGAGCTGAAAAATAGCTTGGCTGCCGATTCGGGCAAGAAATTTCAGAAATGCCACGAGGGCAAGAATCGCAATTTGGCAAAGCAGGTCTAAGACATCTTCCCTGAGTAATTAACGCTTGAGATTTCTCTTGCATGTGCCGTTCGTTCATTCCATTTTTTAATTCTGCGTCAAAACACGTCAGGCGAGAATACCCGGGAAAAAGGCATGAATACCCGGGGAACGGGCGAGAATTAGAATTCAACAGGAAAGGTTTGCGCACTTGGCATTCCTGCAATGCTTTCTATTGTTTGATCCACATTGATCAAAGAGACAATGAAAAGTGGTGTAAAGCAGGGCCGCAAAATATTGCCAAATGAGTTTCTTGCTCCCCACGGAAAGTGCTAGAATAGGAGAGCATGCTGTGTTTTGATGTCCAGAAGCCAGATGACGATAATTTAGGTTGCTTTGATACAGAGCGTGCAACGGCACCTTCACAGACTCTTCCAAAAAGGCGCATTGACACTACCTTGAATTTACGACTTGCAGGCGGTACCAGAGAAGGTATCAAATGATACACCTGGCTCAACTAACCAACAACAGCTGCCTCCACCCCTTGCCCACCAACACCATTCGCCACTCCTGCCAACATGTAGTCTAATAAGGAAAGAAATGCCATGCAGGATTGCGAGTTCAAGGCAGGAAATCAGGAGAAAAATCACACAATGCAAACCTTACGGTTCATATCTCGCCCTTAACCTACCTTACCCAGGATTTCCTTGGAAATATCGGCGGAAAGCATGCTGCCTCACTAGTTTGAAATTTCTCCTGTCAAGGGGCCCATGGCAACAGATCAATTTACAATCCTCCCACACCATCCACTGGTGAGGAAGTTGCACGAGCGTTCTCTTACCAAATCCAGGCATAACTTGTGGGGCCGACCTGGTTCTTATACCTGCGACCTCCAACAGGCAGAGATTTGGGGGTGAATGGGCAGAATGATAACTTTTTCTGGCGAGCTGAAAAATAGCTTGGCTGCCGATTCGGGCAAGAAATTTCAGAAATGCCACGAGGGCAAGAATCGCAATTTGGCAAAGCAGGTCTAAGACATCTTCCCTGAGTAATTAACGCTTGAGATTTCTCTTGCATGTGCCGTTCGTTCATTCCATTTTTTAATTCTGCGTCAAAACACGTCAGGCGAGAATACCCGGGAAAAAGGCATGAATACCCGGGGAACGGGCGAGAATTAGAATTCAACAGGAAAGGTTTGCGCACTTGGCATTCCTGCAATGCTTTCTATTGTTTGATCCACATTGATCAAAGAGACAATGAAAAGTGGTGTAAAAAAGGGCCGCAAAATATTGCCAAATGAGTTTCTTGCTCCCCACGGAAAGTGCTAGAATAGGAGAGCATGCTGTGTTTTGATGTCCAGGAGCCAGATGACGATAATTTAGGTTGCTTTGATACAGAGCGTGCAACGGCACCTTCACAGACTCTTCCAAAAAAGCGCATTGACACTACCTTGAATTTACGACTTGCAGGCGGTACCAGAGAAGGTATCAAATGATACACCTGGCTCAACTAACCAACAACAGCTGCCTCCACCCCTTGCCCACCAACACCATTCGCCACTCCTGCCAACATGTGGTCTAATAAGGAAAGAAATGCCATGCAGGATTGCGAGTTCAAGGCAGTAAATCAGGAGAAAAATCACATAATGCATCATAATGCAAACCTTACGGTTCATATCTCGCCCTTAACCTACCTTACCCAGGATTTCCTTGGAAATATCGGCGGAAAGCGTGCTGCCTCACTAGTTTGAAATTTCTCCTGTCAAGGGGCCCATGGCAACAGATCAATTTACAATCCTCCCACACCATGCTCGAATGCATGACAAGTCACACATCCACTGGTGAGGAAGTTGCACGAGCGTTCTCTTACCAAATCCAGGCATAACTTGTGGGGCCGACCTGGTTCTTATACCTGCGACCTCCAACAGGTAGAGATTTGGGGGTGAATGGGCAGAATGATAACTTTTTCTGGCGAGCTGAAAAATAGCTTGGCTGCCGATTCGGGCAAGAAATTTCAGAAATGCCACGAGGGCAAGAATCGCAATTTGGCAAAGCAGGTCTAAGACATCTTCTCTGAGTAATTAACGCTTGAGATTTCTCTTGCATGTGCCGTTCGTTCATTCCATTTTTTAATTCTGCGTCAAAACACGTCAGGCGAGAATACCCGGGAAAAAGGCATGAATACCGGGGAACGGGCGAGAATTAGAATTCAACAGGAAAGGTTTGCGCACTTGGCATTCCTGCAATGCTTTCTATTGTTTGATCCACATTGATCAAAGAGACAATGAAAAGTGGTGTAAAGCAGGGCCGCAAAATATTGCCAAAGAGTTTCTTGCTCCCCACGGAAAGTGCTAGAATAGGAGAGCATGCTGTGTTTTGATGTCCAGAAGCCAGATGACGATAATTTAGGTTGCTTTGATACAGAGCGTGCAACGGCACCTTCACAGACTCTTCCAAAAAGGCGCATTGACACTACCTTGAATTTACGACTTGCAGGCGGTACCAGAGAAGGTATCAAATGATACACCTGGCTCAACTAACCAACAACAGCTGCCTCCACCCCTTGCCCACCAACACCATTCGCCACTCCTGCCAACATGTGGTCTAATAAGGAAAGAAATGCCATGCAGGATTGCGAGTTCAAGGCTGTAAATCAGGAGAAAAATCACATAATGCATCATAATGCAAACCTTACGGTTCATATCTAGCCCTTAACCTACCTTACCCAGGATTTCCTTGGAAATATCGGCGGAAAGCATGCTGCCTCACTAGTTTGAAATTTCTCCTGTCAAGGGGCCCATGGCAACAGATCAATTTACAATCCTCCCACACCATGCTCGAATGCATGACAAGTCACACATCCACTGGTGAGGAAGTTGCACGAGCGTTCTCTTACCAAATCTTGTGGGTCGAACGTTGGAAACGGCTGAGAGATATCCTCTGGTCAACAGCCACATAGCTGTTGAAAATGGTATATTGATAGTTGATTTTCCCATGAAACATGGTGATTTTCCATAAGAAATATGTAAACGTTTACCAGAGGGTATGTTGAAGCTCTCGCTGAACATGTTGAAACTCTTTAAGCAAACTGCTGGTGAAACTCTGGGAACTGCTGGTTTAACAATTTCCATATTTTCAACATGTGCTTCGCCCCGGTGGGAAGCTTGCATTCAGTCATATTTGAAACACAAGTCTTTGAGCTTGCACGAGCTTGCGCGAGCTTGGGCAAAGAGAATGCAAAGAGGCACCTTGCAGGTGCGAGGCATCTTTCGGATGACGCTCTCATCATTTGTATATGGGCAATCTCGGAAACTGAGGATTCACGAAAAGGACACCAACAGATTTGGTAGCTGCGCCAAACAGCTACTGCTGTGAGGACAGGGAAAAAATTGCCACAGCCGGCTCCACAATTACAGATTTGGTAAGATCCCATCGCTTACCACACGTTTGAACAAAACTGATGTATGGCAACGTGCAACACATCCTTGAGAGGGCGCATTGCTATTTGGGAAGGTCCCATCGCTTACCTTTTACAAAAATTGTACAGTTTCTCTATCCCTACCCCTATAGAGGGGGAGGGCGGGGGGACAAAACCAACCTGTCGAATTCCATTTTTTTTTACTTGGAAACCCTGGATATAATCCAACCCCTCAAATGGAATTGTAAAGTAACATTTCTTAACAAGCCTTGGGCACTGGTTTGAAAATACTTGCGCTTAGCTCCGGAGCTAAGCGCAAGTATGATCACGGCAGCGCAAATTTTTGGAGGGATGCCATCCCTACGCATGTGCTGCTTCAGTCTGACATGTGCTTAGCTCCTCCGGAGCTAAGCGCAAGTATTTAATTTTCACCTGCTTGCCATTGACATGGAATGATGAGGAATATTGATCATTGAGAAAACATGATTGCAAAAATTGAATTTTAAAATGAAATTTCAGTACGACTCCCCCCCCCTCCAATTCCATTTTTAAGAGGGTAGGGATGTTTCTCTAAACCCATGTCCACCCCTTACATGTTTCCAGCCAATTGCCGTTCTTTTTGCGGTGGTTCATAGCTATTCAACTTGGAGCTTGTGCGAGTTTGGGCAAACCAATTACAAGTGCTTGCGGGAAGCACATGATGCTTGCACAGCCTTGTGAAAAGCTGATTCAGTCAATTCGTGGAAATGCCACTACTTCATTTGAGAGTTTAACACATGGACATGGCAAGTGGCATATCTGTGGTGCGGTCGAGCATGTGCCATGGCCATTCTCTTAGAGCAACTGGACGATGTATCCTTCCACCTCCGGCGCATTGCTTCGTACAAACAAATCTGTGCATCATGGACTCACTTCGCAAAAAAGAGTGGCGCGATGTGGCGCGCAAAACAGATGGTTTCCACCGATTCTCGAGTTGGTCAAATGCATGATCTGCTGGCCGGAGTGCTAAGTCAAACCCTATACATTGCGAGCCACTGCCGTCAAACTCACTGAAGGCAACACATCGGTCGCATCTTGATTTGAATGGCTGTCTGGTTGGGTTGAAATTGATAGGCGAGGCGAGAGCTGCAGTTTGCCTTCAATTATTCGGATGCCAACTCCAACGTTGTGTGTGTTATCTTTGGTATCGAGAATATGCCTTGGCTGCTGGCGCACGAGCAATGTGATCAATCCAATGATTTCCCAATTAATCATTACATCATTATATGAGTGGACGACTCATTTTTTTCCCATGGTACCGTACTATTAGGTATATATGAATCGACAACCCGCTCCTTGCTGCTTCAAATTTTGAACCCAAGCTGCAACACTTTAAAAATCAATGTCTCCATGGCTGTCTCAACATTTCCCAACACCATACATGGGCCTTTCACACTGAGGCTGGCACTTGTGTAGTTCAAATCCTTTGTGGCGTGTGATGGAGGCGCAACCTGTCAAACCAAACGCCCGCACTTCATCAATGGGATTCTGATTTCAGGCATCAAACAAAATCCGTCAAATCCCAGAGAAAAAAAGACATGTGGCTGTCAGTGGCACACACGACGAGGGCAACAGCCCCTAATGGAAACTTGAAGGGCAATGCCCGACGATTGGGCAAGCGTCATGAGAACCCCAAGCTTTGGTTTCACCACCTGAAGCGACCCAACCTCAAATTGTCAGTTACGAGTACCCTGCTGAAAGAAAAATGAACCCATCGCACACTTAAATCACAGCATGACTTTCATCTGAAACCACATCTAAAACAACAACTTTGGTTTGGTCAAAAACGGGGTAAACCATGCTATAATCCACTGCATCCACGGCTTCATCATCACATTCTCCACTCAATGGTGATAACGGGGCGGAAAATCCTTCGGTTTCAGCCATCCCCGAGAGAGACCCAGCCTCAATGTTGCGCACCATTGCTTTCACCTCTGCTTTCACCCCGCTGTCCTGACCATGGCGCCAGCTCCATCTACTTTGGCTGCGCTCAAGGTATGTTCACCGTTGTTCACCCATGAGTTTTGGGCACAGGAAGACCCCTGTTGAAACTTTAAACTCAAACTGTAGCACTCCGAACCAAATTGGAAAGTGGGGAGGTTTTTGGAATGGGGAAAGCCGCCATCCACCATCATTAAAAAAATTACTTTACTTCGAGTCATCCCTACCATGACATTTATACAATTTTTAACGGCAAATCTTCTGGCATTCTATCTGACATATCTTCTGGCATTCGATCTGGCATTCTGTCTGGCATATCTTCTGGCATTCTACCTGGCATATCTTCTGGCATATGTTCTGGCATATCTTCTGGCATATCTTCTGGCATATCTTCTGACATTCTATCTGGCATTCTATCTGGCAAACATTTTGGCATTTTATCTGGCATACCTTCTGGCATTCTACCTGGCATATCTTCAGGCATTTTATCTGGCATATCTTCTGGCATTCTATCTGGCATATCTTCTGGCATTCTACCTGGCATGTCTTCTGGCATATGTTCTGGCATATCTTCTGGCGCTTTATCTGGCATATCTTCTGGCACATCTTCTGACAATCTATCTGGCATTCTATCTGGCAAATCTTCTGGCGTTCTATCTGGCAAACATTCTGGCACTTTATCTGGCATATCTTCTGGCATTCTATCTGACATTCTATCTGGCGTTCTATCTGGCATATCTTCTGGCTTTCTATCTGGCCGTTGAGGTCCAGCGGTGCCCACTGAGCTCGGAAGGTCCCAGGTTGAGGTCCAGTGGTGCCCACTGAGCTCTGAAGGTCCCAGGTTGAGGTCCAGCGGTGCCCACTGGGCTCGGAAGGTCCCTGGTTGAGGTCCAGCGGTGCCCACTGCGCTCGGAACCTTGCGGTTGAGGTCCAGCCGTGCCCACTCAGATCGGCAGCCGGCAGTTGAGGTCCAGCAGTGCCCACTGCCACAGAAGTTGGCAAAGAGATTGGCGAAGAGTTGGCAAGGCGGAAGTGGACATGGAAGTGGATGCACAAGTGGTGGAGGAGAAGGAGGAGGATGAGGAGGAGGAGGAGGAGGAGGCGGAAGAACAGCTCTGATAAATCTAATTACTTTACTTCGTGTGATCCCCACCATGACATTTATACATTTTGATACTGGCAAATCTTCTGGCATTCTATCTGACATATCTTCTGGCATTCTATCTGGCATTCTGTCTGGCATATCTTCTGGCATTCTACCTGGCATATGTTCTGGCATATCTTCTGGCGCTTTATCTGGCATATCTTCTGGCATTCTATCTGACATTTTATCTGGCATTCTATCTGGCATACCTTCTGGCATTCTATCTGGCATATCTTCTAACATTCTATCTGGCATATCTTCGGGCATATCATCTGGCAAATCTTATGGCATTTTATCTGGCATATCTTCTCGCATTCCTTCTGACATTCTATCTGGCATATCTTCTGGCATTCTATCTGGCTTTGGAGGTCCAGCGGTGCGCACTGAGCTCGGAAGGTCCCAGGTTGAGGTCCAGCGGTGCCCACTGGGCTCGGAAGGTCCCAGGTTGAGGTCCAGCGGTGCGCACTGAGCTAGGAAGGTCCCAGGTTGAGGTCCAGCGGTGCGCACTGAGCTGGGAAGGTCTGAGGTTGAGGTCCAGCAGTGCGCACTGAGCTCCGAAGTTGGCGAAGAGCTTGGCCAAGAGTTGGCAAGGCAACAGTGGACGTGGAAGTGGAGGCAGAGGTGGTAGAAGAGGAGGAGGACGCGGAGGAGGAGAAGGAGGAGGAAGGAGGAGGAGGAAGGAGGAGAAGAACAACTCTGATAAAATCTAACAACCCTCACCTGGCAGGTGGGGAACAACCCTCACCTGGCAGGTGGGGAAATAGTAGTTGTCAACTATCAAAATTTCAAAATCTGAAGCCACATTTAAACAGCAAATTTGGTTTCGTCTCAAGCAGGGTAGCCCACGCTAAATCCGAAATCCACTGCTTCATCATTTTCTCCACTCATCACTCACTGGCCAGAAAGTGGTGGAAAATCGAGGACCCCAGCCTCAATGGTACGCACCATTGCCTTCACTTCTGTTTCCACTCGGCTGTCCTGACCCGGTGAATGATTATCCATGACCTAGGATGAAAATTGGGCATCAAAAATGCTAAGGACAGACTGGGTGATTGAAATCGAAACGATTTGCGTGGTTCTCGATTCGTCTTCAATTTTTGCCCGTGCCCAAAGCACCCAAAATCTATGGGACCAAATGGCCAGCACAAGAAGCACCATACACGATCATTCCCACCTATGCTGGATCCGGGTAAATTCTCGGAAGATATGGCGGAACCTCCAAATCGTAGCCTTTTGATCATTGGGTTGGATATTTCCAAGAATTGGAGATCCCCCAAATGGCAATTCACCATTGTGAAAGGAAAAATGATTATAAATCATACGATTCTGAAGTAATTACCCTACGTATCCCTACGTATGTTCAAGTAGCATCCATGTTACAAGTATTGGGCACGCCATGGCACGACTGACCATTTAAGAACAGAGTGATAGGATATTTGGAACCCATTCTTTGCATGGTGTCCACCCCGGCACCTTCCGAATTCCACTCCGCTCGGGCGTGCGGAATCAATCTGACAGCGATCCTGATCCTATCTTCCTGCTTTCATTCCATTTCTGCATGTGTTTTTTGTGTATGGGTCAAAGTTAAGGGATTTTGCTGCGAACACCACTCTGCTCAATCTCATCGGAATTCAATGTGGTGTTGGTCTCATCATATTTTCTCATTGACGTTTGAGCCGAAAGGGCGGTGGTCAAAGTTCGTTTTAAAAACACATCTGAAACATTTGAATTTGAAACTTCACTAAGCTCAGGTGCCCGTATCTGTTAAGGCAGGATTGACTGAGGGTGAACATATCTGACAAAAAGTTGCCGAAATACTGATCCCAAAAGCGAACATTGCAACAAGCGTCTCAGGATCTTCGGGTAAGGCGCATGACAAATCGCAAATCGCATCAAATCGCATCAAATCGCATCAAATCACATCAAATCGCATCAAATCACGCATATTTTGCCTCAAACGCAATCAAAAACCTACGTCATGCGCGACTTTCTGACCACGCTGTGAAACTTAGAATCAAGTTGTGGATTGCAGCACAGTTCGAGATCCCCGTTGACTCGCATCAGGAACTATTGGGCTAACCAACCCTGTATATCCCTTTGTTCTGTCAGAAAAAGTGCCATGTACGACTTCGGAGTCAAGTTGTGGATCTGCTGTGCACCGTCTTAGCATCCAGAATCAACGAAAACATATATTTCTTTGTACAGCGGGGTGTGACAAGGTGACCCCATCATGTCTTCATGGCATCATGGAGGCTTTCTCCGGTACAGTCCTGAATCGGACATGCTTTTGCCAGGGTTCACACACCGAATGAGGTGAACACCCAATCATGATGCCCGTCAACTGCAACAATGGGCTGACCATGGCTGACCTCAATAACAGACCATCCCCATTATCAGAAACAGCCCCTGGCGGTTTCAGTGAAAATGATTTGCCCCCACAAGAATCCCAAAGAAGAGGTTTGGGGATACTATTGATATTAAACATTTTGGGGGGATCTTCCAACATAGAGTCTCTTGAATTTCAGTTACATGGCAAGACAAGTCTTTCACAGTCCGTGATGAAAAGGTGGCAATCGCCCACATCTCACAGCCAGACTGAAATGGGTCACAGAATTTGGGTGCCAATATACGTACCAAGTTTGTCATCTGTAAAATTTGAAACCACATCTGAAACAGCAAATTTGGCTTCGTCTCAAGCAGGGTAACCCACGCTAAATCCTAAATCCACTACTTCATCATCATTTTCTCCACTCATCTCCACTCAATGGCCAGAAAGTGGTGGAAGATCGAGGACCCCAGCCTCAATGGTACGCACCATTGCCTTCACTTCTGTTTCGACTCGGCTGTCCTGGCCGAGTCACTGATTATCCATGACAGGGATGGATAAAAATTATGCATAAAAAATATGCCAAAAAATGCGTGGTGCTCAATTCGTCTTCAATTTTGACCCGTGCCCGAAGCAACGCCAACAACCACTGAGATCGATGGCCCCCTCAAGCCTCGTGGTCTTGCAACTCGGAGGTGTACATCACAACTTCTGACAGAGACATCACCACCTGACGAGACAGAGACATTTCCAATGGCAAATTTTGGGCGACATGGAGATGTTATGAGATGTTGGACTTTGAAGAAGCCATACGTAAAGTTCATACATCAATAAAAACATGCTTCGAAATGCTTGGAATAGAAACATGTTAAACCAATCTCATATAGTATGATCCAGCGAATGATCAGCATGATATAGAAGAATATCACATGGCATTTTCTGAAAAGAAGATACATTCAAATCCACTGTTTAATCATCATGTTCGCGATTCAAATGGCCATAGGTGCGGGTATACCATGGTATACCCCATTTTCAGACGCAGCCCATCAATGATATTTCATGGTATCATATGATATGATATCGTATCCATTTATATCCAATTACCCTCTGGTAAACTAACATAACTATTGAAAATGGCCCATTTACATGGTGATTTTCTATAGTTATGTTAGTTTACCAGAGGGTAACATACATAATCGATCATAATCCAATTAACATCCATAATCACGTCCACAAACGTCCTGTCGCTTGTTGCTTCTGCCGGCCTGAATCCCAAGGTCCGACCAAATGCGATGCGCACATCTCAAGGCCATGAGCACTACCTGGCGTTGAAAAAAACGAATTCTTAGGGGAAAGATGGATGATCCATGATTCATATGATTCATTTGGCTATGAATATGTTTGATATTGATTGATCATATCACTATAGAATAGATGGCTTAGATGGCTTAGATGGCTATGGATGATCAACCTGTGGAAAAATTGCCATGATTCACTGGTATTCCTAGTGATTGCTGATGAATGGTGATTGATCAATAACTTGTCATTAACTAGGGTAATCATTCTGTGTTGTCTCCTGCTTTTAAATATGGCAAGTTCATGCTTCCATTACGGGTCTTCCTCATCTTCCTTATTCCTGGACAATGCTAGTTGGCTGCATCAAGACCTTTTTGATCCTTTTTTCTGGGGTTTAACATGACTATACTTAGTACTTCTCACGAACCCAAGAACAGCTGAAAAGTGCGGCCATTTGGAATGGTTCCCCTTACCAACCATCATTCCAGTGACATCACATTGAGGTCATCATAAGTCATCCAGATGTATGAATCTCAAGCAAATATAAAAAGTTGTGCATCATGATGCATCATGCATTGTGAGCAATTGGAATCACCAAAGAAATGTGCAGAGCCTCAGCATCTTCGGATCTCGTCTTCTCCAGGACTGCCTTGCAAGTGGCAGTCCAAAGCTCCTTCTTCGTCAAGCCACTTGTGGTAAAGTACCCGATGAGAAAATGAATGGTTCAAGGGCCCATCAAACAAAATGCATACAGATTATGAATGATTATGATAGATGTAAACCATCGAAAATATTAGAAACCCCAGTTCTGATGACTAGGTTCTCATCCAGGTTGAAATCTCCGCGACCAGGTTCCATGCAGCTTGCTACACACCTGCATCATCCGTTTCACGCCGTCTTCTGCGGAAGACGCCGTCATGGCGACCAAAGCAGATTGCAACACCTTGGGCCCCAGATTTTTTGGGGGAAGACTCGGAAGAGGCGACGGATTTTCTGGTCAAATTGTCCTCAAAATCCAAACGTCACCTTTTTCGCATTGTTTTGCTGATATCTTTTGGACGGAACTGATTTTCGGACTTTTGGTTGGTATGTTTATCGTGGCTTTCTGGAAATCAGGCTGAGGACGAATCATCAATCAAGGTTGGAGTTGATCCTCCCTTACCCAGTGATCCCGAAACTGAGCAGAATGCTTCTGAACAGCATCAGCATGTGCCCAGGTCATTCAATAACGAAATTACAACTGGAATCTGAGTGATAGCTGGCTACAAGACAGGACAACAACCCTTTGCAAATAATCTTGCTCTTGCAATTTGGTATATGACAACCTTGCCATGTTGTTCCATCGCGAAAGATGCTATAACTTCGCAAACATCAAACCCTGAGCTGCCCAGCTCGCGCAAGGCCGCTGCAAATGGCATCATCTACGGCTAGAAACTCGAAGACATCCAGTATCGAGACGCAGGGCTCCAGCAACTCCTGCGAAAAACTCGGCGCCGAAAGGCTACCGCCACCCAGGCTACCCGCAGCGGAGTTTCCGTTGAAACCAATGGGGGTTGGTTCTCCAAAGATATGAAGGAGTAATGAAATGAAGACCAGCGAACAACGAATTATGTTCATCATTTTCCATCATGGTTCCTCATTTTTCTATCAACATCTGGAATCGTTGTTTCTATCCCATGTCGCCTCAAAAGACTCCGCCCAGACCTTTGCTTCTGGACCTGAGAACATCGACGAACGACGAAAAGGTCACTGTGGGAACTCGTCATTTCAACAGTGACCTTTTCGCCAAAGATTTCCCGAAAAGTTTGCCCTGGTTTGATGATTGTTGATATCTGTTGATTGTTGATGCCACGGCTTCGCTGCGAGGGGATCTATTATATGCACGGGGGTGATGAACATCCGTTTACCACTTTTTTCAGTGTTCACTAGGGTACCAGGGTTGTGACCCATACCCATATGGAGGTTTCCTAAAATAGGAATTAGATGGTTCCATGGGTTCCAGGGGGTTCCCATGGATCATCCGCGAGAATTTGCTGAACAAACGTGGAAGCACCACTTCCAGCAACCTCCAGCGTCACTTGAATTTATGCCCCAGTACCCTTTCGATACCTAAATCAACAAGTCGTCACCTACATCACCTTTTCGTGACGTAAAAAGTATGCCCCGAACACAATTTTGCAAATCGAGCGCTTTTGCTTACAACAACGCATTTAAAGAACTCTTCAGCCTGCTGCCAACTTTTATCTGAGCCGTGGCTACTTGTCATTAAATGTGTGCAAGTCTCCAGGGATGAACATTTTTTGCAAGACCCACACGCTCAAAAAGGTCGCACAAAAAATGTGCAAAACGGGCGCAAATCGGCGCAAAAAAATGCAAACGGGCGCAAATCCAAAAAACGTTACCTCTAAACCCCAAAGGATTTCTCACGCATGTCTAGTTGTGTTTGTCTGAACACCCCGATACCATTTGCAGAGAAAAGTGCAAAACCACACCTCTTAAAAACCTGCGAAGCGCGGATTCTTCAAAAACGAGCACTTTTTCCTTCACGAGCGTAAACGTATGTTTTTGGGCAGAAACTCAACGTCATGTAAATTTACGTTACTTTGGAGGTCCTAGGTTGGAAAGGAGATTTCCCCGTTGCTGATGGATTCACCGATGTTCAGCAATGGGAAAAAAGAAAAAAAACACCGAGTCAGTAATCTAAGACCAGTTAATTAAAGATCATCCGGCAATTAAGCTGCTAAGCTCAAGGCCACTGTTTGATCCTTGTTTGAACGCAAGGCCCAGGAAGTTCAAGCATGCCATGGCCACCTCGGGAACTGAAATTCGATTGTTCTTGGAACCACAAGTCTGGTGATACTACGTGATGCTGTTGTCGTGTTGTTGTTGGTGGTGATGGTGATGGTGATGGTGATGCTGATGCTGATGCTGATGATGATGATGATGATGATGATGATGCTGATGCTGATGCTGGTGATGATTAGCAAACTGTCCAATCCCCCAATTTTTATCCATAAAAATCCAGTGGTTTCATAGCACAAGTTCTGAAACATCAACAGGAGCTCCAGCTCCTTGTGACTGGTGCTACTAACAGCGGTTGCGGCTTTCTGGACCCTGCTGAAACAACACAGGCAGTGAGTACTCAAGTGGGGAAGCGATCCAGATTTTTGAACATATTAAGACCCTTACATCTATGAAGGAAACCCATCAGTAGGTGGCAAATTGGATCACCCGCTAGACCTGAGGTGAGCACATCATACCACCACCAGCTCTGACTGCTCAACACCTCTTCAGAAATGGGCCCAAAATGGCCGCTCCAATTTGAAATTAGGAGGATGAACCATTGAAGTCTGGAATAGCCTATTTTCAGACAAAGCCCTGTGCTAAAGCTATCCAGCTATCCAAAACTTGACTAAATGCTGGGGCATAGATGTGTGTCTTCAACCCCCAAACTGCTATGGTACGACCTGGTACGATAGGTTTTGACTTTTACCCCAAAAGTGCCAAAAATTCTGGGGTGGTATCTACTACCCTCTGGTAATTTCTTGCAGTTAACTGGAAAATCACCATTCTCAAAACGAACTAAAATGGTCCCTGGCTCCGATACAGATTACCACAGATTGCCACAGAGTATCTCCGTTGTTGCTCCTAATTCCTATCAAAACATCTATTGATTACTGATGGTTACAGTACCCAATTACTTTGGGATTTTCCCCGCGAAAGTTACTAGAGGGTAAACCCCAATCATCGCTAACAAGATCCATGGCTCCCAGCTTCGCCGACCTCCTTATCAGTGCGTGACCCCGACAGCGTGCGGCGCTTCTTGCGGGGGAGCTTCTCGCGTGCCAAGCGGAGCCTGGGAGAGGTTGGTGTGGGTTTTTTGTTGGTTTTTTGTGTCCGAAAACATTATGAAACCAATGGAAACTTGGGGCCAATTTTCAAAGCCAGATGAGGATTGATGATTTCACGACAGGATATGGTGACAAATCAGGGCCTGCGGCCTACCGCGCAAGCGGAAAAAACACCTAAAGGTGGTTCCCCAGGTTTGAGCAGCACTTGGGGGAGCATCCCTCTAGTTCATCCCCTTCAACAACCATGGGCTAAATTCCTCATACTTCACTGGATAATTCCAAGCGTACATATCACCATGCAGTTACGAGATTGGTATGACTACCCAGTAGGCAGGCTAAAATCTGGTCAGGGTTGCGAAAAAAAACCCACTTTTCCAGAGAAGTCACAACCATCACAACGAAGTTTGGAAGATGTTCTTCCCAATTGAATGTTCAAAACCCTCTATCGTTCCTTTATAATCCCATCACCCTAATATTAAACACCCCTTTTTTGCATGGTCCCAATGGAATGTGGAAATTCCCTACAAGTACCATGGTTTCGTTGAACGGGGGTGTTTCAAAACTGAACGGGGGATCCCCATCAATTCCGATCTTCCGCAACAACCCAACAAACTTGGGCTTCCGGGCGCGACGCTGTGAGAAGCTTTCAGGGCCGAGGAAATGTCCTGTGTTTTTGAGCAGTTCTTCAGTCTGCGAAGTGGAAAATCATATGATTTTTGAGCATCTTGAATAGGTAAATCATCGAACTAAATGGGCCATACGCAATAGCAAACTGCAACAACTGCAGCGAAGTACCAGAGGATAGTTGCAGAGAATTCATGTTGCTACCGTTGCCAAGTGTCTCTTGCACAGTTTCCATCGATCTGACCGATCTGAAATGTTGGCATCCAGAATGACATAAATAACATCTGTCTGAAAATGGAGAACAAAAACCACCAAAATGATGATTCTAATCAAAACATAAAAAAGTATATATTAGTGACATATGATGATAATCCCCATTTTTAACATCACTTCAGAACAAGATCACCATCAGTTGATACGTTAATTTGGGGCTCCGTTTTCTCCCATATCTTCAAGTTCCATCCCAGGTCTGCCCTGCGGCGCTGCGGCGCGGGTCGTCCTTGTTGGCCAAAGGCATCAGCAGTTCTTCCGCCAGCCCTTCTGCTTCAACAGCCAAGGTTGTGAGAGCTGCCATCAAGGCCTAGAAAGTCGCGGCTAAATCAAACAGATATCATAAGATCAATGAAAATATGGGAATTCATTTTGGGGGTATATCTTATGTATTTTTCTGGGGCAAAAATCCGGTTCTTTGGGAATAGGATGAGTGTACATGATTATAGTGTGAAAATGATGTGTATCCATTTTTAGAGGTATAAAACCAGAGTTTCTGGTTTTAGATGTTCTCGTTCAACCAATTGCTCGAAGAATCTTATCGCCCTAATAAACCCTAATATTAAACATCCCCCGGAAACCGTGTTTTTTATAATGGATTTTCACATATTTGGGGCAAACACTGAGGTCGTAGCCAAAGTCTTAGAGGCATCCTCGTCTCTGACTTCATTCTTGGGCCTGGCAGATGTAGAGCCCAGTTTGTAAGTGATCCATAGAGATATAGACATACATAACCCATGTGTGTGTAATATATATATATATATACACATATATATATATATAGATATACATATATATATATATGTGGCAGGGACCTTTGGGGTCTATTTCGTTCGTTGGCGTAGAACACTACTACTACTACTACTACTACTACTACTCCTACTCCTACTCCTACTCCTACTCCTACTCCTACTCCTACTCCTACTCCTACTCCTACTACCTACTACCTACTACCTACTACCTACTACCTACTACCTACTACCTACTAGTTACTACCTACTAGTTTCTACCTACTAGTTACTACTACTACTACTACTACTACTACTACTACTACTACTACTACTACTACTACCACCACTACCAATACCACTACCACTACCACTACCACTACTACTACTACCACTACTACTACTACTACTACTACTACTACTACTACTACTACTACTACTACTCCTACTACCTACTACCTACTACCTACTACCTACTACCTACTACCTACTACCTACTAGTTTCCACCTACTAGTTTCTACCTACTAGTTTCTACCTACTAGTTATTACTACTACTACTACTACTGCTACTACTACTACTACTAAGTTGGAAATAACAGCCCTTCACCCTGATTTAGGGGTATCTTCAATCTTCCTTAGTATCACAAACTAATCCTTTTATCCCAAACTAATCCTTTTATGAGGGTATGGTCTATCTATTTTGGAAGGTGTCCAAGATTGTCCAATCAATAAGCCTTCATTCAAACGTGATTTTTGATTCATCAACTTATGGGGGGTTCTTTTACAGGCGATCCTAACAAGCATGTGTTTCAATACTAACATGGTCCAACTTGGATGGTTTGGGAGTCCTTCCATTGTAGGAAACTTCAATATGTTTGTATCTTCGGTTTCGCAAAACACACTCCTTGCAAGTTGAAAACGTTTACTGTGGCCCTAAGGACACCGTTTACCACCTCATTCCGACAGTTAAAGCCCTTTACCAGTTTTCGATGGTTGTAAATGGTCGTAAATGGTTATAGGTGATGCTATCATTCCATACATGGGGTTGAAACTAACTTATATCTCATAAAGGGATGTAACTTTACCCGAACCTCCTGCAGTGTGGCACAACAATGCAAACTCATGGATCGAAGGCCTTCATGGATGACAGTCTCACTTGGTAGCTGGGTAGTGACCCTATGGCTAATAAGTTTCCTAAAATCCAATTACTTCACCTTTATAATTCAAGTCTTCTATCAGTGACAGCAGTCATACTAATCAAAAACTAAGAGCGATTGTTGTCCCAAGGTCTGAAGCAATCACGAACGTGGCTGACATTTTGTGGCTCTGCTGAACGTTTCCTGCAAAACGTTGGCTTTCATCACTTTAGTTGTTTCCAAACGAAACCACCAGCAATGCTCGGACGTGCCGGTCATGGAGTGCTGTTTCACACAGCCTACCGGTCTTAGAAGCAAAAGAAAAACAAGACGATCCAGCACCAACCTGTGCTTCAAAGTTCGAAGCCAACATATGTATTCATATTTCATCACAAGAGCAGGGATCATCAAGACTGAAGCACCGGCCATGGAGTGCCATGCTGTTTCTCACAGCCTACCGGTCTTCAGGGAAGGGAAAACAAGACAGCCCATCGCCAACCTGTCCTTTAGAGATGTTTAAAATTTGTCACGAGAGCGGGGATCCGTCATCGGAAGTACAAAAATAATTTGGTGACATGTTAGCTGTTGCAAACTGTATGAACAGGATGGCCAAAAAAAAACTAGCTATCAGTCATCCCAAACTGCTTCCGGCCATGCTTTCTCAGCGGCCTGTGCACTTTTGGTTCCTTTGAACCTTATCACCAACATCTGGCCATCAGAATGGTGGTGCAGCACCTCACCTGAAGAGGCAATCCGCAGCAAGTCTGGAAGGAGATTCCCGTGTGTGACACCCCCCTTGGAAATTCAAGACTTAGTTTCGGGCTGCTTTATGAGTGCAGGTGGTTTGCAGCTTCAACCATTTATGAGCTATCAAGCTTTCATTTTTTGCTAGGGCGCAAGATTCAGAAAGACTTCCCCTTATAACAATAAGAAATTCCTTATTCCAACCTCCCTCGCCCTTTCTCCCATGCACACGTATGTTTACATGGCAATGTCTTTCTTCATCGTAGTGTGTTTTTTAAAAATAAAGCGATGCATGATGAGACTACAGGGCTGACTAGTTTAGTAATTCCATACCATTGATGACCACCAAAAAAATATAACAATACATTATTTCCCATTACTATATATTATTGTAAATCATCACTTTTTGGGGCTCCCATAGGGAAAGATAACCTTGTGGATGCTGGTCTAAGTGTGTACCCTTAGCTTTAAAAATTGAGATGAGGGCCACATGCTGAGATAAAAGCATACTTAGATTATGGGATGAAGGTTGGGTCTACACCATGATCTAAATAGAATCCTTCCTATGACTAAACGTTCTCCTAATGAGAAACTTAAGGTTCGTTCCCTTTTTTGTGGAAGTAGATGTATTTCATTGCGTTTTTTCAATCCTGCTACTTGAAAAGTAATAGGGGACCAGTAGTCACGTCCCAAAAATGTGATTCAGCTCCCCTAAAATTAAAACTAGCTATTAGCAACTGGGGTCCCAGCTCACCATCGTCACTGCCTTGCACATAATTGGTACATTTTTTGAATATAAACTTTTCCTCGCCAAATACTTCCTCTAATAAGAACAACAACAATAACTACTGCAGGTGTTGACAATTTGGCGGGTCCACCGTTTAGTATCATAGAGGGACAGATATGGACAGATAATGAATAAAATACACCCGGTACAGTACCGTGATTTAAACCATGTTTGGGCCATGCAACCTACCATCAACCCAATCCAACCCCCAAGCCAGACACACGCGGACAGGATGCCGTATAGCTTCGCGCGGCTGAGCGCAGCCTCGATGTCATTCGTCACCACCTTCACCCGGCAGCGCGTTTCACGGCGGGGGGATCGCTCACGTCGAGCTGGCAGCATGACGGTGGCTTCCGAAGGAGGGCTGCCAACCTGAGCCACGAAAAGACGAAAGGCGTCGGGTGACTGGAAAAACTAAAGCACGATGTATGTAGCCACTTTGTTCCTTCACGTGTACTAGGTTCTGAGAAAAGGTCAGATCTGCTCGTTTGCAAACAAAGCAAATGCTGGAGCTTGGATGAGCCGCGCATACAAGTTGCAAAAGATGTCTGTCGGCATCCATTTGAATCTTTGTAGCTAATTACATGGGCACAACACAAATGCACATGATATGCACATGATCCCCCTTGGAATTCGGCAGCCCCACAATCTCACCAACTCTTGAAAAATAAAAGGGTTCCAAAGATGTGCCTTTCATACGCAGCCCCAAAAGTAGCAACCCCTCTATAGGGAGCCTGCTGAAACAATCAAAGCTGTCAGAAGTTGCAAAAACATCATGAGAATGTTGCGCAGGTGAACCCGGTACATCACTTCCCTACATGGAAATTCGACAAGATATTTTTCGCCGAGGCGCAACAGTCGGAGCAACAGTTGGAGCTTCCGCACCACCAGAAAACATCTGAACCTCAATGACCGCTTAGAGCTTTTTTGGTTTTGGGGAAATTTTCAGCACCCACTGGTAGCCGAACAACTTTCTTCTGCCGACATTGGCGCCAAGCCACATTGGACGTTGTCAAAGGATGAGGCGCAACACGGAACAGCCGGTTCATTGGCACCCATACATTCGGCGGATCGGGCCTGTCATATTGGCCTCGGATACAATGAAGCGGGCATGCAAACACCAGAATACATAATCACAACAGGTTCAGAGCTCCAAATTCTGAGCAAAAAGAAGCCAGTGAGATTTAGTCACCAAGACGGCGCATCCAACATATATGGAATAAGATCTTAACCCATGGGTTGACAAAGAATGCTCACGGAGCATATTTGCAGACATGGTGCTGTTGCCAATCTGGGCCATATGATCCAACCGGATAGCCCAGATTACGCATTGCTGCGTCACACCATTAGAAGTTTGGTATGACACCTTCTCACCCAATGAGAACATGGTAGCTCTTGGCCGAGAAGCAAGATCGGGTTGCGGACGTCTCTTGAGCCCGTTCCAGAACTACACAAGGATTTCAAATTTTGTGGGCGCTTGGGCACCGGCGATAAATATATATATATGGACACAGTAAACTATCAGCTCTGGAGGATTAAAAGGATTGAAAAGATTAAATGGTTGGTCCTCACATGGGGGTTCTGGAGGCTCTGGAGGATTAAAAGGATTAAAAGAATTAAATCATTTAATCCTTTTAATCCGTTTAATCCCCCAAAGGCTCTGGAGGATTAAAAGGATTAAAAGAATTAAATCATTTAATCATTTTAATCCTTTTAATCCGTTTAATCCTTTTAATCCTTTTAATCCTTCTAACCCCCCAGAGATCTGGAGTCTAAGGCCCAAGCATTGGATTAAATGATTTAATCCTTTTAATCCTTTTAATCCTCCAAAGCCTCTGGAGGACTAAAAGGATTAAGAGGATTAAATGCGTGGTCCTCACATTGGGGTTCTGGGGGCTCTGGAGGATTAAAAAGGATTAAACGGATTAAAAGGATTAAAAGGATTAAAAATGACTAAATTCTTTTAATCCTGTTAATCCCCCAAAGGCTCTGGAGGATTAAAAGGATTAAAAGGATTAAATGATTTAATCCTCCAAAGCCTCTGCAGGATTAAAAGGATTAAAAGGACTAAATGTGTGGTCCTCACATTGGGGTTCTGGAGACTCTGGAGGATTAAAAGGATTAAAAGGATTAAACCATTTAATCCGTTTAATCCTTTTAATCCCCCAAAGACTCTGGAGGATTAAAAGGATTAAAAGAATTAAATTATTTAATCCTTTTAATCCATTTAATCCCCCAAAGGCTCTGGAGGATTAAAAGGATTACAAGGATTAAATAATTTAATCCTTTTTTGGGGGTCTATTTCGTTCGTTGGCCTAGAAAGGCATCTTCTTCAATCTAATGAGCGCTACAGCAAACATTTGTATAACCGCGCGAGACTTTCCGAAGCGCTGGACGTTGATCGGAGACAGTAACTGGGATGGGAGGGTGGGACTGTTAAACACATGTACTGGCTTGCTCGTTGCTGCGCCCTTGCTGCAAAGCTCAGATGAAGGGCTGGGCACGCAGAATCTTTTGAAACTGAACATGTTCATCCACAACCTCCTGCAGCGCTCTGCGTGGATATAACGTTTTGGTTTCTTCATCCATGGGTATGGGATGGATCTGTTGCAGCCTCCATTTCCACGGTGGCGACTTCAATGGGCGGGAAGGCTGGGCGGGAAAACTGCTTCAAGTTTGCTGAAAAAGTTCCGCCAAAGGCTGGGCACTTTCTAGCTTTTTTCGACGGAACATGTTTAAACACAACCTCCAGCAGCGCTCTGCGTGAGCATGACGTTTTGGTTTCTTCATCCGTGGATATGGGATAGATGCGTTTCAGCCTCCATGTCCATGGTGGCGACTATGGACGGGAAGGCTGGGCGGGAAAACTGCTGCACGCTTGCTGAAAAAGCTCTGCCAAAGGTTGGGCAGACAAAATATCGACTTTTTCAACGGAACATGTTTACCCACAACCTACTGCAGCGCTCCATGGTGGCAGCAATCATGGATGGGAAGGTCGGGTGGGAAAACGGACGTGCTGGCTTGTGTGCCGGAATTTCTTTCGAGATTCCTCTTTTTCAAGTTGCCTTGATGGAGGCATCATTGGCTGCATTGCGAATGGTAAGAGCTGAAAAACTGTCGCACAACACGTCACTCTTCGCGGAAATTTGAATCCGTCCCTTCATCCATCCAGCTTATATCACATGTCCATATTATATATATTTAAACGTCATCTGCCTGGATTTCTTTTTGCCAGAAAAGCCAAGCCACGCCCAACTTGCCATCGGCGAATCCATTTCAGAGGCTCTGACCTGCACGCGTGGCGTATACTTGTGAATGTTTAGGATTTATGACCACAATCCATGCAAGCTGCATAACTATCTCCCACATCCGCCCAAAATCAACAAGCATACGAAGTTATCACTCACAATGCAAGAACAACGAGCGCTCACTACTCAACCGCGTCATTTTCTATATTGTCTGCAATACGGATTAGTGTCGAAGCCCTTTGGCTTTCACACCCGCTGAGCGGAGGGAGTGCATACGCTTGATGGAATGCACGGTGCGTTTCAAAGGTTTCAAAGCCTTTTTCCGCACTTTAGTTGCCGTGCCGTTCTTCCAGTCTTTGACTTTTTTGGCTTCTTCTTGCCTGGACTTATGTAGTGGTAGCACTGCCTTAGCTGACGAACAGCACTTCCTCCAATCGGCCTCTGTCCAAACTTCTTCGCCCACTGCTCGCGCGAGCAATATCGATTCAGAAGTTTGTTGAACTGTTGGAAAACATGAAGCCACATGGTGGGTCAACATCTTACCGAACTGCATAATTTCCAACTTCATGCGCAAGGTGCTTTGATGCAGGGACCGTATTGACTTTGTCCACGAATTTATCTCGGCATGAAGGGACTCATTAGAGGACGTGCCGCTTGGCAGCAACCCCCGCTCTAGAGGGGTTAGACCGTGGCGCACACGAAGGTTGTTCATCAGCCATTCCAATCTATCTGGTGCTGTGGCTGCCCAAAGAACCTTCCTAATTTCTTTGTTGGAGCCTGTCACTTTACGGCTCACCTCATGTGGGTACGTTGCACAAAGGGCGGCTAATGCCTCAATGAAGGTGATTCGGCAGAACAAAGGCGAATCTGGATGAAGGTTGTCCAGGATGCGTTTGGCCCTGGTTGCGCCCATGCTGCCGTCTGTGATGAGATGTCGTGCCCGCTCTTCATCGCGAGTCAGGCTTGGCGGGGCGGTGCCAGTGAAGAGGGGCCCCCAAGAGCTGGAACGCATGTTCGGGGCTACCTGGTTCATCTTATGTAGCAAACACCGTAAAACTTTTGAACCAGTCGTCTTCTTTCCCCATTGGGCATATTCGTAGACAATCGCCAGATGAACAGGATCCAAGGATAGACAGCTCAGGTTTGGGCAGATCTCTTTCAATTCGCGGAAGAGCTTAGGGGACGGGTTGTCTGTAGCTAAGTATCGAACCTGGAACAATGCCTGGTTGGAGAAAAGTGTGCACAGAGATTCCTTGATCTTTGGAGACTCTTCGCTGGGAACAGGAACCATGCCTAAAACGGCACCGGTACGCCCCCTGATAGTCAACACCCTTCTCAATGAATGCTCATCATTGAAGCACGCCGCATTGCGGGTTTCAGCCGCTGCTCGATAGTTTGCCTGTCCCTGCACGGTCATGCAGACCTTGAGTGTAGCATCAATGGACAAGCACAAAAATTCCTGACTATGCTCCAGACTTCTGAGGATGGAGCTCTTCAAGCTTTGCACTTGATAGGACATGTAGATATCCTCTACAAGGGGCCACCAATGACGTGTATGGGAAGGGTACAAGTTCCCAAGCATGTTGCCAGCTTCCAAAGCCCGCAAATGTACACGAGGCCAAATGCTCTTGACCTCAGAATAAAACATCATTCCAATGATTCCAAGGCATGGTTGACACCGTAAAAAAATCTGATCCTGCTCTGACACAAGTTAAAAGGATTACATTGCACGTGCATGTTCTGTTGCTGCCAAGGAACACTCGAATGGTGCAAGACAATTTCCCTGTAGACCATTTCGGCAAAGGATTTGTCGTAATAGATGTTCAACACTCTGCGGGCAACGATTTGTTCTCCAAGGGCCTTTTGGTTGACATATCTTGGACCGTCTTTCTCTAGCAGCAGGCGTAGGTTCTTGTCGATAAAATTCTTGTTGCGGTCGAGAGGAGGAACCACTTGAGTTCTAAGGAGCATGGCACTGCGAAACAAGTAGTCTGTACCGTTCTCTTTGCGGACAGAATCTGAATCGTGCAAGGCCAAAATCACTTTTACCTGCTTCTTTCCTGAGCACACAAACTGCTTGGCGGCGACATGATGGCGCCTCAGGTGATCAGAGAGCTGGCACAATCGACCAAAAGCTCGGAAAGGGCAGAAAGGGCAGCAGTATGCACCGTGCATCTTCCGAATGTTGTTGTGCTCAATTTCTGCCATGAAAGCATGAACTTCCTCCTCCAAGGAATCTTTGATGATGTCTTGGAAAGTGATTTGGCCCTCGTCGTCGATCACGAAGCGGGGCTCTGCTGGCTCTCTGCCCTCGTCATCGTCGTCAGAACTTGCACCGCCTTGCTTATCATCTGAGCTGCCGCCTTGAACATCATGACCCTGTTTGAATTCCCGAAGCTTCTGTCTGCACAGCATCACCTGCGACTCCCAAGTCCTCTTGCTTATTCCCCCATCGCATGGGTTGGGAATCTCACCCAAGAAGTCTGAGGCATGCAATGTATCACAATGATTCCTGAGCATAGATATGTACACCCTCAATCTTTTTTCTACGCGGGTGACCAGCACAGAATCTTTCAAAGGTTCTGCGGCACTAGCACAGGACACCTTTACCAGCAGATCTCTTGCTTTGGACAATTCTGTGATCCATTCGGCCTGCGACAAGGTGGAGAAAGTTGAAGGGATCTCTGCCCATAGACCCGGCTGACTTGCCAGGAGTTGAATATAATCACAGCACAAACCTTCGAACAATGAGATGCGCTTCTCTACGAACTCTGGGAACAACATGAAAGCAGGAATGGCCGAGGACACGGACGACCTTGGGCTGGAGAATTCGCTGTCAATGAAACGGGGCTGATGGAACAGGGTGCTGTCGTCGCTTAAGGATGCCGAGGGCGACGAGCCGGCCTGGAGCTCCAACAGGCAAGAAAACGCTGTAGGACCATCTCCATTTTTGGGGGAGACTGCAAAGGAAACGATGGTGGAAAAGTCTGTCGACCCCTCAGCAAGCTCTAAAAGGCTGGATGCTTCTAGTCGGTACTCCTTGGACCCATCCTTGATCACCGACATCATAACATCTCCTGCCTCCTGGACCTCTAGAGAAACGCAATGGGGAGAACCATTGTTTTCACTGTGCAATAGATATTTGCCCGGCGAGTTGCAGACAATGCCCAAACTTGGTTTCAAATCAAGCGTTTGCAATACTTCCACGCATTGCTTATATGTGCGGCATTTTCTGTCAATGGAATATAAATTTTGCTGGGTGTCAGGTTGCAAGAACGCTTGGAGGTAGCTTTCCTTGTCCTGGCTGGCCGCCAAATGCCACAATGCACAGGGGATGCAATTAGGAACCTTCAGCAATTCAGGGGGAACGTCATCGAGAGCCGTCGAATCTAGACTGGCGATAGCTTCCATAAAATATTTGTGGATTTTTTGCCGGATTCTGACACTGAATCCGGTTCTTTCTTTGATCTTGTCTTGACTATCTGAAATCAAAGCATCAATGTTTTCAAGGACGTCTGCGTTGACCCGCACACCGTCGAAATGCAGCGACAGGTGCGTTGGCCGCTTCAAAAGCAAGAAGTCAGACCAGGCTTCCAGCACAGCATCTTCCACGCCCGACCACATGTAGAAGAATGCTGTCGCTCCTGGATACGGCTTGTCGCTTCTTGTCTCCAATTCTTCGTAATCTTCGGCCAAAACAGAGCATGCCAGCCGACGAAGATAAATGGACGCCCTCTGAATGTTCCTCGCAAACGGAATATCCTTGAATGACTTGTCCGGCGTCCCTCCGGAAAGCCAAGCTGTAACCAACTTCTTGCCGTGGCTATCTGATACCTGTAGCTCCTCCCGGCATACAAGCCGACGATTGTCCGTCCAGCGACGAAGAGCTTTCAATGCCTCCTCCGGCATAGGTGGGTTGGGTTTCAACTTTTCAAGCAATTGCAGGACAAGCGTAGCGCAACAGTTCTCAATGTCCAAATCAATTGTATGATCAAAGAGTTGGGTTTGAATCCGCCTCGCGCATTTCTGGGCAGAAGTTTGGGTTGCATACCGCCGTCCGCGAAGTTTCCGATCACCGCTGTATTTGTAGCGGACAGAAGTTTCTACGAGGCCGGTGGCAGGAGCCACTTGCGCCGGGGGCTGCTTGGCCCTGGATCTGCGCAGTGGGGTTTGCGCTGGCTGCGATGCTGCTTCTGGGCAAGCGATCTCTACAAGGTTTTGGCAAACTTTCTCATAGGTTTCCAGCTTGCATAGTTGGTCTTGTAACGTCTGTTTTTTTGCATGGTCGTCGGCAGCTGGCCGGCCTTTTTTCCGCTTCTCTTCTGTCAGGCATTCGGTAAAAAACTGCTTCAAAATATAGACATTGTTGTTTCGACAAGGGTTCTCCTCCAAATACTTGCGGATCTGGCCCGTGTTCATAGACTCTGGAAACACGCGCTCCTCATCTGCCCGCTGACTGAATATTACATCTTCGAAGCCTACTTCGCAAGAGATGACCGGTTGGAGAACGTCCTTGGCTTTGCCTTTTCTGCATCCTTTCTGCATCATTTTCCTTGTCTTCAACTCTTTGAAAGCTGTTTGGTGCGATGCGTTGGGCTTGTTGCTCGACTGTGCGTAAACCTTTTTGAACTCCCACAGTGTGATGTCACTGCAGGACTCAGCCAGCAAATTTGTCACAACAAAATCACGCAGCGCAGTGTACTGCAATTCTTCCTGGTCCCGTTCCTCTTGTGAATCTGACACATGTAAGAGACCCACGCCTCCCATTGCAGTTTCTTCGTGGCGAACTCGGAGCTCCAACCCACAAGCCTTCCGCATCTTGTCTTCAGTAAGAAATCCATCGCCGCCGGTGGCATAATCATCAATCAGGTGCATGCATTCATTCTGGCTGTGCTGCATTTCGAAGGCGTGCTGCGTGCGCAAACCAGCAGCACAAGCGCCCGGACTCACCAAAAATTGCTTCAAAGTTGGATCGGCCAGGAAATGCCCGTCTTCCTCATGATCTGCATGAGCTTGTTTCAACACAGACTCTGGGTGGAACCTAGCCTTTGGTTTCCACACAAGAGCGCGGCGCATGACTGACTGGAAGTTGGATTTGGTGATTCCTGCAAAAACCATCATACGGTTTACTTCCAGGCGTTTCCAACCCACAACGCTGAACATTCGCGTTGTGTATCCGTATGGCTTCCGCCCCGCTATCCCATCCCCTGACATAGTCTTCTTGAACAAATCCAAATGCAACCTCTTGTGTGATTCTGGCGCTTCTTGGCCAGTGACGACGATGCAGCGAGCGAAGGATTCGACCTGCTTTCGGGGCTCATCTTCGTTGTACCAAACGTTTGGATCGAAGTATCCATGATTGGAGCCGAGCATTGCATCAATATGCAAAGAGAGCAAGGACTGCCCAACCCCCCCAGGGGATTCACCAATGAAGCACCTGTCCACATTGAAGCCACGCTTCGCTAAGGCCATGGCAGCCATATTGCATTGGAACACGTCATTGTTCGCCCAAAATGTTTGCTGGTAAAACTTTTCGAGGCGCTTTTGGTGCTGTTGCAACACTGGATCAAGCAGTGGGTGCGGAATGAAAATGTAGCAATCATTTCCTGCTGCTTTAGGGATGTGTCTCAAAATTACTTCCCTGCTTACATCATATTGCACACATGTGTCATGGTACGACACGCATGGCTTCTGTGACCGGGGTGTTTCGCACCATTCGACCAATAAGGAAATAAGCTTTTCATGCATGAGCTCACTTCGGATGGATTGGCATATTTTCCAAATTCGTTTGCCCAATGCGATCGGCCAATCTTCTGCATGCTTGTTTCCTCGTGGAACATCCGCTTCTACTATTTCATCAGCATCTTCGCCAAACTCATCGCGGGCTGGTGCCATGGTTTGCTGCCATATCGCGGCCTCTTGGCACGCCTCTAAGAATTTCTCTTCGTCTGCGAAATGGGCGCGGTCCGCTGCAATAGAAGCCAAAATGTCCACATCGTTGCGCCGGGTTGCAGGGTCCATTCGCCTGAAAATACCTTCCAGCTGGGAGAAGAACAGCGCTAATCGCGCAAGTACGGCTTGAGGCGGGATCCCGGAGTAAGGCATAAAGGCGCCATTGTCATTGTAGATATAGCAGAAGCCGTCATGAATCCGAATGAACCTGTCACCTTCCACAAGCCACAGGAAGAAGGCATTGTCGCCCATGAAGAGACGATCGGACAATCTGGCGCGGTATGCTGCAAGAGCAGCGGCGCCAATGCGCACCAAGCGCTCAGACCAGGCAGGGTATTTGTCGGTCACTATCCGCCGGAGTTCACAAACACGAGCCAGAATTGTATCGTTGGCACCTGCTGTGTCCTTGTCCTCATGAACTAAGGCCTCGTTCCATTCATGATACTGGCGAAACATATCCTCAAACTCACTCCGAGTTGTCTGTGCCCCTTTCATGAGCCGTCTCTTCTTCACGGAAGCCAGCAAAGGATCATCCTCAACATCACACAGATCTGGGTCTTCAGGGCCTTCCTCTTTCACTTGCGTCTCTACCACTTCTGGCTGAGTCTCACACGGTTGTTCGCTCAAGGCTCTGCCTTGCGAAGGCTGAGAACTATCTAACGCACCGCCACAAACATCTTTCGCTTTTTGCTGCCAAATCTTCATGATCGCCTCAATCTCGGCCTCCATACGCGGCACTTCATCAATGAAAGGGTCCAGTTGCCTGTCTGGATGAGTGCCAACAATGAACATTTTTGAAACCTTGTACCCGTAGTACTTCTCAATGATGTGCCTGTAAGCGTTCAACTGAAGTCTGTAATGTGACCCAGCGCAATCGGGAATGCGGCCCAAGGGCGGCAACATCGCACAAGGCGACCAAAATTTTTCTGCCAAATTCGCAGACCTTTTCCAATCAATCAGCGCCAGTGAGCCTTCATTGTCTACGGCACAGAAATCTATAGAGCCAGCTAGATTTTCATTTTCGGCGAAAACAACCCATTCAGTCCGGTATGCCCGCCACCCCTGCATTTTGTCGAGGAATTTGATCAGCATTCTGAATTCAGGACTGGTTTGCGGCACTGCATACCCATTGATATGGGCTTCAAACAGATAATGCATATAAGAACCACATGCAGCCGCTTCACTGCCTTTCATCTTCCACATTGTCTTGATCTCGTCTGGCCCCAAGGATAAACTATGACTGAGGCCTGGGAACTGCGGCTTCAATGCTTGGACCCGTTCACAAATCCACGGGTCGTTGCGTGGAACATCGAGCAACGCAAGAAGAAGGGAAGGATCAACCGCGCGCACCCTCTGCAACACGGCCTCCGTCATAACGGGACGCAAATAATTTGGTCGGGGCCAACGGTCACTAGCCATCATGCCGCGGATAACTGCATCCGCATCAAAAGGACGCGAAAAGGCGTGAATCATCCCCGTGACTGATCCTTGCGTCTTCGATCCATCAACAAAGTACTCGTGGTTTTCCTGCTCAAAACGGACATGAACGTCGCGACCGTGCGGGTGGAGCCAAGCCAAGGTCGTGAGGTCTTGACAAGCCACGAAATGCTCATAGTTGAATGGCACCAACCCGTCTGCGCCATCACCACGGATTGGCAACTCCATCCCAGTCTGTGTCCACGTGATAAGCTTCTGAATTTTCCGCTTCCGGGCTACTTGTCTATTGGCTTGGATCGCGGAGGGCAAATCTCGAAGTGTGCTTCCGCCACAAACATCCCCTGTGAAACACTGCCGCAAGCCGCGGCATAGCGGCGCTAACTCGCTGCGCACTCTGTATGTGGAAAGCATTCGGGCATTTAAAAGGAAAAGGGTTACCCATGACTCTGACAGCCTCTCCCAACAACCATCCATGAGAGAAGCCCTTGTGTCTGAATCGAAGCAACATAAAAGAGGCGTCTGGTCTCTCGCATCAGGAACCAAGGGATCGGCGCCCGCCAAGAGCAACTGTTTCACAAGCAGAACATTTCCGCCCATGGCCGCCAAGTGTAACGGCGTTTCTCCGCCAAAGTCTTGCACGTGCACATCAGCTCTAGAATCTGACAACAGCTGCAAAGTTGTTGGAGTATTTTTCAGGGTGGCCAAGTGCAAGGCGCTTCGACTGTCGTTGCCAACAACCCTCGGGTCGGCAAAGGCAGACAGCAGAAGGTGAACGCAATAAAACAAACCAGCTCCAACTGCAGTGAGTAGTACCGCCTCTTGGCGCCCAGTTCGCCGCACAATGCCTGAGCAATTTGGCTCCTGGCCTGCAGACAAGATTGCAATAATTGTATCATGCTGCTGTTCTTGAACAGCCCAAGACAAATCCAGCCTATACTGATTTGTTCTGGCGTGAAGAACGACATCCAGCACTGGAGGGGGCGGGAACCCAACCACGGCCCAGATCGCTCCCATGGGGACCACCTTGCCTTCCAGGACCAGCGACACAGCAAAGGGAAGATGCCCATGATGGCGAGCAACATGCTGCTTGAGATCAAGAATTGTGCAATCTTCCGTGACACTGAGGCTGCATATATGCTTTCCTGTGCAAGCCAAGACAAACGAAACTGCGCTGCCCCCTTCCACATCCCAACACTGGCGTTCCGATTGAAACGATTTAGACGCGCACCACAAACTGGAAGGACATCCGTATTCTGCCAAGATTGACAGTATGCCCTGCAAGAGGGTAGCAGCATCGACACGATGAAAATGGTATTCGAGGCAAAGGGATACAACAGGGCCACAGCAACGCGCTAGTGTGTACGGAGACGAATACCATGCATTTTGCTTCAAAGGATTTGCCCTATGAGCGAGCAGCATGTCAGCAAAGGCCGCGTCTTCGTAAGCAGCTGCATAATGCAAGGGCGTGTTTTTAGCCGCAGTATTGTCTTCTAGATTTGGGTTCGCCCCTTGCCAAAGCAAGAAGGAGGCACAGGATTCTGCGTCGTGAATCACAGCGGAATGCAAAGGACCTTTTTGTCCAGGAGGGACATAATTTACGTTGGCTTGCGCTCTGACCAACATCCTCACAATTGGGAGGTTGCACTGCTGGACTGCAGTGCCTAAAGCAGAATTGATGATGGTTGTATCCGGGTCCTGACCCATCTTCAGGATTTCTTTGACAGCACCGACATCATCTTTCTCAATGGCATCGAAGAGGTCGTCTGCCCAATCTAATGCTTTGGGCTTTTTCACCATTGTGACTATGCTTGGGCAACCTAAGTCCTGCCAAGTGGCCTCCTCTTCAATCAATTGGTCTGACAAGAGGAAATGAAGGGCAAAGTATGGCAGACCGAAGGCTTCGACGGCACTTGTGCGGGCAAGATGAAGGAAACTTTCGTCATCTTCCAACCAGTCCGGAATTGAACACGACAACACACATTCACCTGTCAAGGCAGACAGCACCCTGACATCGCCCCACAATGGCACGCTTCCGCCGCACACATCATGGCGCGCCATATACCTTCCTTTTGGCAAGCTCTTAGCCTGAAACGTTCGGAGGAAAAGCTGCATCCGGACATATCTGTAGAACAATCCGTCAGGCATGCAATTGGGACGCAGACAAGACGTCCTGGTTGCGACTGGCAAACTAAGGAAATGCATGAGGAGCCAAGCGCTGGCCAATTTCTTGACCCGATCCCGGTGACTAAGCGCGATGTTGGATGTAGACAACACATCCAAAAGCTCCGGTTTCCGTTGAATTTCAGGCCAATAGAAGGTCAACAGTAAAGCCTCCAGTTGCACCACCTTCATGTCTTTGATGAGGTGAAGAAAGAGAGAACAACATTCCAGCCGAAGCTGCCATGCAAAGGCCGTCTCCTGCGTGTCAAAAGGCACAGGCAGGATCCAAAACGCGTTGGGGAATCTTTCCAAAGTTTTGCTGAGCGGAAAGATGGCTCTGTGAAAATCTTTCAGTTGCAGCCAAACTCGCGGGTTGTCATACTGCTCGTTCCTCCGGAACAAATATAGATGTCGCAGCATTTTTGTGGCGGTTGTCTCTGGCATGGGTTTTAGGCACAACATCGGCGGTGTCTGGCTATGAACCGTTTTTGCGGCGGTTGTCTCGGGCATTGGCTTCAGGCACAACATCGGCGGTGTCTCGCTATGAACTGAGTCCGGCGGCTGAGAGACAGGCGCTCCCACGGGCGTGCAAAGTATCTGCGCCAGTGAGATTGGACGTGCGCCCCCACAGACATCAGTGCTTGGCTTGGCGACATGTGAGGCGAAAGGAATTAGCTTGAAGACCGCTTCAATGGAGGAAGGCCTGAGAGTAGGCGAGTCCAACCCTACATGGGTCTTGTGATTCATCTGCAACCGCCACTCACCATCCTCAAACACGCGAAAGCCACTAAAATGCTTGCGAGCGTATATAACATACTTCCCAGGTGTGAGCTTGGAAGCATCGCAAGCCCCAAGCGGAAGGAGGGCATACCTGCCAGCCGACCCAGAGCATCCTCACTTGAAAAAAATCAATCGCACTTGATTTTTTCAATCGCCACTTGAAAATGCCCAAATTTCAATAGAATTTTGTTTTTTTTCAATCGCAAAATTCAAGTGAAATTTCAATAGAAAAAAAAGAAAATTCAATAGAAATTTCAAGTGAAAATTCAATAGAAAAGTTTGGTTTTTGATCTAAATTTATCATTTTTCATGCAGCTTCACTTTAACATATATTCATGCCAAGTTGCATATCATGTACTTGTGCTTTTTGTTTTCTTGGGGGGGCTGTCCAGCCCATGCTGGGGCTGTCCAGCCCATGAGCTGTCCAGCCCATGATGGGGCTGTCCAGCCCATGGTGGGGCTGTCCAGCCCATGTGGTGGTGATGGGGCTGTCCAGCCCAATGGGAAATTGTGTGCCCACTTCCAGCCCACAACTTGGGGCTGTCCAGCCCATGGCAAGGCAGCCAGTGGGAGCAACCTTTTTCCTCTGGGGCTAGCTTTGGTAGTCCACAGCAGCCCTGCTTTGTACACCTAATTTTCTTCAGGTTCTTTCCTTTCTTCTTCTCTTTGTGGGCGTTCTTCTCCTTGCCCACCTTCTCCCTGCCCATCTCCTTGCCCATCTTCTCCTTGCTCATCTTCTTCTGGTGGAGGCACCATGACTTGGCTATCCTCATTTGGGTCCAGCCTCCAGCCTGCAGCCCAAAGCTCTGGGTCAGCTGTCTCCTCAGCCTTCACCCAGCTCACTTTCCTTCTCTTGGGCACTGCTTCCATGGCACAGGAGCTTCTCTTTTTTGGGCAGGGCTACCAGAACCAGGAAGGGCTGTGGAGAAAGCTTTCCAGCCTCAACCATTCAAAACTTGTGTGGAATCCAAGAGGCTGTCCAGCCTATCAACCTTCCTTCCTGCAGGACTGCAAAGGCTGTCCAGCCTACCAAGACAGAACTGAAGCAATTCTTTTTTGCTCACCTCCCATCATCATCATCCAGCGAGATGTACCCTTTCAGGTAAAGGTGAAACAGAAGCCTGAATTTTTGCAAGGCCTTCAAGGGAAGCTTCTCAGCTGGAGTGCCACTTGTGCAGCTTGAAGCGATTTGGACTATCCAGCCCATGAAAGATTCACTCCCATATGTCCAGTTCAGGCTGGGGTGCATGAATTTGCTTTGCTCTGCTAAATGGAGCAAAACATGGGATTTCTGCACTAAACTCCAAAGGTGCAAGCCTTCCTCCAAGGCATTGGCTGCCAGCCAGCTGTAGTGGGCCATGAAATCATCCACTGCCTTCTTGAAAGCTTCAAACCGCCATTCTTGCCAGCTGCACTCTAAGACTTGGTATGCCTTGACCAAGTGCTTTGCCAATGCTTCCCTGTGCTTCCCAGCCTTGTCCATGCTGTACTCCTTGGCCAGCTCCAAAGCTACTGGGGCAAAATAGCGAATTTTAGCTCCTTTGATGTGCTTGAGGCAAGGGTATTCTTCTGCACTCTCAGCCAGGTCTGACAAAGACAGGTGCTTGATCCTCTTTTGGGCTGCCACCCCCAGCTTGTCATAGGCTTCCACTATCTTCTTGTTCAGGTTGGCTAGCCTCACAGCTCCTCAGCTGGCCAAAAATTGTTTGCTTGCACACACTATATTGGGGCTATCCAGCCGAAAAAAAATGAAGCTGCTATTGCTGGCAAAAATCTGGAAGCTCCTGGCAACTTCTCCATGATGCTAAAAAGCAAAGATCCATGTGCATATGCTGCTACACCAAGGTCCAGGATGTGCAAAATGTCCAGCCTAATGGACAAAGGGGTCACACATGGAGCTCTGAAGAGTGGGTGTGCTCCAAACTTCTCCTTGAATTTGCTCGGTGACAGCACACTGGCTCTCCAGGCTGCGGTTTGCCTGAAATCTGTGAAAAGCCTGGGGCTGTCTTCTTTGCATTGGTCTGCATTGCAATAGGGGCAGAGAAGGTTGGCTGCAGCATAAGGGAAACCAAACTCAGCTGCAAACCATTCTAAATCTCCACTCACTGACCATAGCACTCCCCTCCTCATTCTCTTCCCCTTGTATTTCTCTGTGGGCATCCCTGCCTCATCTTTTTTGGGCACCACACCATCCCACAGCACTTTCCAAGACCATGCCAAAACTTCCATCAGCTTCTTGGAGGTCTCCTTGGTCATGGCAGCCTTGGGCACAGCTGCGATTAGCATCTGGCTCTGGGTCACTGCCTTGCTGGAAAGCAAGCACCTTCAGGGCACATGGCATCCAGCCCAGGGCTATCCAGCCCAAGGGCTATCCAGCCCAATGAGGCAAAACATAGCAGCCAAGGTGGACATGCAGGCAAGGGCTATCCAGCCCAAAGCAGGAAAGGAAGCCAAGCCTGAAGCTGAGCACCTGGATGCTGTCCACCTCAGTGAAGGGCGCTGCATCTCCATGCAAAAGGTAAGGCACTGGAAGCTGGCTTGGTTGTGATGTTTCAATCACTTTCTTCAGCTCAGCTGTCATCTGGGGGCATGAAGATTGGCTCTTCCAGAAAGCAACTAATTCTTCATCCTTGCAGCACAAACTCTTCAAGAAGTTGTTCTCTTCAGCCTGAAGGACCCAGTGGTGAGGTAGCAGGAGGTGAATGGCAGTCATCTGCTCTACTCTATGGCCACCCTTCTTCACAGCCAGGGGGCCATACACCTCCCAGGGATCTGGAGCTTCTAGAAAGCGAAAATACTTTCTCACCAAGTCTCTGTGGCAATTGCCAGGTGAATGCCCACAAGCCCCAAGCTCAGCCAACTTCCCCACACACTGGCTCTCCAGCCCACTCTTAACTGCTGCTGAAGCAAGCTCCTGCACTTCTATGGCTGACAGCTTTCCTATGCTGAACTTTTTGAGCAGCAGCACCCACAAAGGACATGGGTCCATTTCTCCACAACTTTTGAGCAGCTAAAGGGGCAACTTCATTCAGCTTTAACAAGGGTTGTCCAGCCCAATTGCCATGTCAAGGGCTCTCCAGCCCAACAATGATAACAAGAGCTGTCCAGCCCAATTCAAGGGCTATCCAGCCCAACAATGGTAACAAGGGCTGTCCAGCCCAGCAAAGGCAAAGGGCTTCCCAGCTGACATTTTTGCTTTCAAGAGCAGCTTGGGGTTGAGTTTGCCAGTCTGCCATCGCAAAACTTTGGCCAGGGGTGCCACTTATGATCTCAACTACAGACATTTGATGTGTTCAGTTCAACACTTGGTGGGCACCCCTGCTCTGCTTCAAAAAGTGTTTAAGCCTTCAAGGCTTTTGACACGAGCAGCTTCTTAGCTTTCAGCTTTTTCAGCACAGCAAAGGCCTTCTGCAAGGCTGGGACCACCTCCTTCTTCTTGCCCTTATCTTTGTGGAGCTTCCCCACCAAGGTCAAAACCTCTTGGCCTTCCTTCTGGGTCTTGGCAACATCCTTCAGGAGTGCCTTGGGCATGTCCTTAGAGTGGCACAAGCCATCCAAGGTTGCCAAGTCCTTGGTGAGCTCCACCTTGAAAGCCATCAGCCTGTTGAGGAGTTGTGCTTGGCCATCTTCCTCCTGCACAGTGCTCATCTCCTCCCACTTGTCCTTCTTGCCTTCTTTCTTCTCTTTTTTCTCCTTCTTCTCCTTCTTGCTCTTGTCAGACTTGGTGCCCAAAGCCTTAGAGAGGCCAGCTGGCAGCCCATCACTGTCTTCACCACTCTCTTCACTTGGGGCACAGAAGTCTGCTTCTGTGAGCTTCTCTAAGCCCTTGCTCCTCATTACCTGCTCCAGCTCCTTCAGGTTGCTCTTGTTCTTCTTCTCAAAAGTGAAAGCTTGTTCCCTGGTCACATTCACCTGAGACTGCTCAGTGTTGGCCCTGAACTGCCAGTAATTGGGATCTGCTGGATCCTTCCTGGCAACTATACTTCCAGAAGCCACCCTCTCCTGCAACTCTTCTTTCCCCCAGTGTGCCAGTGCCTGGGCCTTTGTGAGCCAGGTGCTGGTGACTCCTTCACTTTTCTTCAAAGAGACCTTGTCCACCATTGCCTTGTAGTGTTCACCTGTGGTCTGCCCATCACACACCCAGCCAAACAGAAGCTTTCGCTTCTTGGCAAGGCTTCCCACTGACTCACTGGTGGTGGCTTTGTACTCCTCCTGGGCCCCAGAGCTTTTCCTGGACTTTTCAAAAGCCTTCCACAACCTCATTGCAGCCTTCTCATCTAAGCAGCTCAATGCCTTCTCAAACTGAGAACTGGACATTTGGGCTGCCTCCTCACAAAACTTGTTGTGGTCCTTGACTGCTTGAGCTGTGAGTGGCTGGTGAGCACCCTCAGGTGTATCCTCTTCCTCTGCCTTGGCAGCTGGCCTCTTGAAGCCTGCTGCTGCTGCTGGCCTCTTCATTGCTATGGCTGTGGTCTTTGTTTTCTCTTGGGGCCAAAAGCTTTCTGGATTTTGAAGCAGATTGCTCAAGTTGAGGCCAAATCAAATCACATGTGTTGTATTTTTTTTTGTGGCTCAATGGGCTATCCAGCCCAAGAAATTGATGGCTATCCAGCCAAAAAAATAAGTGTTGGTGTTTGTTCTGGCTCAAATACCTAGTCCAAAATAGTTATTGCAAATGGTACTTATTGTTTTGGCTCAAGGGGCTGTCCAGCCCAAAGTATATATTGGCAAAAAAAACAGAAAAATAAATATACAATGATTTTTTCTCGAAAGAAAAAAATTGTTTTTTTATTTGTTTTTAAAAAATATTTCAGATTCATAGATTTTCAGGTGTGTTCATGTGAATTCAGGGGTGTTCATGTGAATTCATGGGTGTTCATGGGTGTTCATGGGTGTTCATGGGTGTTCATGGGTGTTCATGGGTGTTCATGGGTGCTCATGGGTGTTCATGGGTGTTCATGGGTGTTCATGTGATATTTTTGTAGTTTTGTTTAAATCTATTTTTTTCAAGGCTGCTCAGCCTTTTTTTTTGGTCAGGGCTATCCAGCCCAAGAAAAAAAAATGTTTGGATCAAGGCTATCCATCTATATGTAAAATAATTGGCTATCCAGCCAATAGATTTTAAATTCTTTGCCTGGAACTCAAGCCCATAGATTTCATATATAGAATGGGCTATGCCTAGAATATCCCATAGGCTCTCCAACCCAGAATTTTTCAATAATTAGCTGGCTCTCCAGCCCAAAGATTTTACATATTTAATTGGCTCTCCAGCCAATACTGTAGATTTTAAATATTTAATGGGCTCTCCAGCCCATAGATTTGAAATATTTAATGGGCTCTCCAGCCAATAGATTTGAAATAGTGAGTGGGCTACTCCTCATGCCATTTTATGGACTGTCCAGTCCATAAAATATCAATAATGGATGGGCTATCCAGCCCATAGATTTCAATTATTGCAGGGGCTCTCCAGCCCAAAGCCCCCAGCTATCCAGCCCAATCCCTTCACATCCCCCTATGGTTCCAGCAGCATTTTTTCTCGCCAAAGTCTTGACTGTGCAGAGGGTCCCAAAGTTCTTGTCCCTTGCATTAAAAATCTGTACCCTCACAACTCCTCAGCTGATCGAGTGTTTAGAAAATATGGTACAGGGCCTCATCTGACTGGCTGAGCTTCTCATCAAACAAAAACCTAAATATTGTGA